CCAATGATAATTCTTTCAGTATTATTAAATCTGATCTTGAAAAGCTTAATGTTAAAACTAAACATTGTAGTATGGATAAGTGAATTAATAATAATGATTACGGCTTCGAGGAACTTTGTAAAAGTCTTGATATAAACAAATTTAATGGAAGGTTTGGGAGTAATGTAGTATTGGGAACAACAAGCGAACTATACTTGTCATAATAATAATAATAATAATAATAATATTAACAATAGTTCGTCCTTATATAGCGCATTGCAGGACCGCAGGCCCTCTCAATGCGCTTTACACATAATACAGTGCGTCCCAGAAAAAAAACGAAACCGAGAATTATCGATGTTTTATCATAACTTAATCACAATTATAATTAATAAATGACACATATAAGTAAAGCTTAGATCCTCGTCTTTCATTTGATACAAGTCATATGATTAAAAACAATTTGAAGAGAGGAAACCAAAAAGTCATTTTTAGGGCGGTATCTGAATTTTCATGGAGAAAATCACATTTCTAAAAAGTTCAATTTCTGCCCCTTCATATGACACCTCAATCAGGAAAAATTAGCCAGGAATAACAAAGTTCTGTTTGTTTAAAGTAATGCTTGCATTTCCATAATTTGATTAAACAAGTTCGTTTTCACTGGCTGCCTGCCGTAGCAACAAACAGAGTTGACAAAAGACTTAACTCCGTTTCGTTGATGATCAGCCATGCATCAAGTCTTTCGTTTTCTTTTAATGAGGCTATTAACAAACAGGTTAATCAAGCCAGGAGAGCCATGTTCAATTTAACTTTGAAGGTAAAGAAGTTGTGCTTATACCTCGTGATATTCAATGTGAATTTTTTTATTAGTTAGTTGACCCGATTTTATTATATGGCAGTGAAGTATGGAGTTTTCAGAAGTTAGACTGTAAAGAAATATTTCATTGAAAATTTCTTAAAAGCTTGCTCAAAATTAACCGTGGCACTGCCAACTGTAAGGTTTAGCGCGAAGTTGATAGATATGCTTTATAGCTAGTAAAGTGGAGAAACATAATGGTCGATTTTGGGGTGAGGGTTAGTCAGGTGAGGATAAAATATCTAAGCTTTCATACATTATTTATAGTCTGTTACATAAGCTACATGAAAGTTGTGAATCAAGGTGCATGCAGTGGCGGATCCAGACCCCCCCCCCCCCCCCTTGAGAAAAAAATCATGTAAAAACACGTGATTTTTACCTTTTGGGGGGTGCAAATTTTTAAATATTCGAGGAAAAAAAAAAAAAAAAATAGCGCTCACTCCCCCCCCCCCCCCCCCCCCCCCCCCAACTGAGAGACTTTTCGGCCGGCGCGATTTTCAAATTTTCGGGAGCAAAAATTTGAGAAAAAAAGTTGGGCCCCCTCCCCTAAGAAATCCTGGATCCGCGCCTGGGTGCATGGATTGTGAAAGTTAAAAGTATCCTAGACAAGAGTGGAATGTCGAACTTGTGGGTTGAGGACCCTGGTTGTGGATACCCCCTTGAACCTAGGTTTGGTTTAGTCATCTTTATACCTTAGATTAACTGATTTTGATTTGCAAAATTGGAATAATGAAGTTTATAGAAATCGTTATGCTTTCCGGGCTTTTTAAATAGGCTATTTGTTGAAATATTGGACGTAGGTGATCTCTTTGTAAGTTTCGTTGTGATGATAATAAAGCTGCCATTTACCATCCGTCGTTATTTATCTGATCAACCTCTTGAGTTATTTTCCCTATGTAATACAGGGTGATCTCATTATGTTCTGATGTGCCCAGCATTTAATGATGTTCGTAAGCAGTATGTTAAGAAATAGTATAGACCTAATTAACGTTATCAAATTTCATCAGTTATTCATTGCAAATTCTGTTTCGCAGTTAAAGAACCTTTCCAAATTTCGTAAGATCATTATGTCTAAGTTTGGATAATTGTTTTTGTCCCAGTTTTGAATACGTTAGACTTTTGGTTTAATGCGTTGTTCTCGTTTTCGATATCATAGTGTACATACATATTATAGTAGTGTAAGTATTTTTATTTTTTTCAAAGTAGGCCTAGAACTATATCTTAAAGCTTGCCTTGATTTTTTTTAAAATATCACTTTTGAACATTATATTTGTACTATTCAACTGCATTTCTTCCATGCCCAAGAAGGGGGCCGTTAAGGATATCAACAATCATTGTCATCGTCATTGTCACAAGCTTCCTGGGGCCCGTTCCTACAAACCGTCATAAGTCTAACTTCTTGACTAAATCAGCGTTAGTGAACAACTTGTCCGCTACGTGTTTCACCAAGCCCTCTTTGCCAAGATCAACGACAACATCCTGACTAAGGAGTTATGACACCTCTGACACCGTCGTATCTCTGTCATAACTATTTAGTCGATGGGCAGCGCCATCACATGTCATTTATTGGGTAGACTATGGCTGGCAAAAAAGGACAATAAATCCTCCAATATGATTTTTCTACACATTCACTTAAACAGTGAATTATCTTTTTTTGTATTTGATAATCTCATGAAAATATGCCATGTTTGTATTTAAGGATTTTTCCACTTAAATAAACTGATTATACGCCTTTATTTCCACATTGTAAACTCGTCGAAGGGATATGTATTTTGCCACGGCAGGCAAGCCATAGTTTGAAGTGTATTCTTTAGTTTTCAGACCCATATTAATTTCGAGATGAATTCTATTTTCAATTATGTAAAGTGAATGGTTTAAACATATGTTTTAACCTTTGAAATATTGAAGTTTTGTAATTTTTATATTGTGCTGACGCCAAAAACATTGAACACAAATTTCATTACATCGTATTTTTTCAAAGAATAATATAAGGGTGTATTTTTATAAACTATCAAATGAAAATATTCGGGGGTGCCCATCTCAACAACAAAACTGATTCACTGGTCATGTAATGAAAAACTCACAATTATATTTTACAAGTACTTCAATTGTTTAATCTACACAAATTTGGAAGTATATTGGATCTCTTATTTCTTGGTATCATTTTCAATCTTTTTTATTACTAATTCATTTAAATAATTGCATTTTCCCTAATATTAATTTTGTAATAATCTGGTGGTATTGCGACTAAGGCTAATTCTCGGCTCCTCTTCTCGCCGATAATATCGATCTCACGAGATACTAGCTAGTAAGCTCTTCGTGAAACGGTTAGGAAGATCAGAGACATCTCCGTAGTTGGCGGATAAAGTTATGACTGTCTTGTCGTTGGTTTCTAGGAACGAGCCCCAGGAAAACGATGACGATTATCGTGGATGGCGCTACTCTTTTCCTCGAAATTCACGCAATTGAAGTAACGGGTTATTTAGTAACATATTAAGTGTATGGTATCTTTCAATTTTTTCCATCAGAGCCATGCTGCTGGATATTAGGCATATCGGCCTTTTTAATGTCAAGATCCCATGACCAACAGACCAATACAGAGTATCATGTCTAGCGTAATACCAGTAAGCCTACCTTCGTGATGTATTAGTTGACAGCGTTGTAAAAATTTGGTACCCGGTATTGTAAAATGGTCGAGTGCCTTCACAAACATTTTGTGTCAACCAAAAATGAATTAGGCTTTTTTTTCAACGTCTGAGCTTGAATTATTTGAGGATGGCCTCATTTGGCATGAATTTTCTTTAAGTCAAGTCTACTTTAAAAAAATTCTTTCAATAGAGGCAGACAAATCAGACAAACCAATCGAAAATGGTTTGAGTAAAATCGGATAACTAATGTTAATAAAAAAAAATTGAAAAAGTATGAAAAACTTGGAACAATGGAAGTCAATACACAAATTGCCAATTTGATTATCAGTTTGTGACGTCAATGCCTTACTATTTATCATAAACTTTTATCCATTAATTCCCCTTTTTATCCCCCAAAACTTGATTTCTCCATGCTTGCCCAGATGATATGATATCATATTGCGTATATATATATATATATATATATATATATATATATACATGACAAATCTTTTATGAACTTTGAAGAATTGATACTATTTTCTAAATATTGTATATTCATAATTATTGATTCTTACATAAAAAGTTTATAAATATTCACATTTTTGATGATTTAACTGGAGAAAAAAATTCTTGTCCACACAAAAACATATTACTAACAATATAACTTGGATGCTGGAGTGAGTAAGATTCTTAGGGGGGGGGGATGGGAAATTTATATTATCAATATAAAGAAAACATTTAGTGGAATAAGTGGATAGTGAGGCAATGATGTCACAGACTCATGAGTGAGTTGCCAATTTGTCTTGCTATTTTCAAGTTTTTCATGTCATTAAGCATTCATAACTTTCTTAATAGTTATTCGATTTTGCTCCAACTTGTTTTGATTGGTTTGGCGGATTTTCTGCTTCTATTATAAGCAAGTTAATTTTGGAGTGGACTTGGCCTCATGACTGTTGTTATCAAGCAGTTGTCACAATTATTTCTGATGGAAGGAAAATGATCTTGGCCACGGCTGCACGTTGCCTACCTGTGTGTAGTTAAAGTCTATTACCTCCTGGCAGGTTGAACAAGTTGAAAGGGCTCGTAAGATTAAGGGCTGGTGAGCTCCGCTACTTTCATGTATGGCCCATTAAGGTGTACTTATTGTTTTGTTATGAATGTCTATTTTTAATGACTTTTTAATACTATTGTATTTTGTGGAGTATCCTTGTGTTCACATAAGTAAGTTACTTATGTAAATTGCACTCAATTCACTGAGCCGAAAGGCTGCCATGTACAATGTTTTTTGTATACCACAATAAATAAATGAATAAATAAATTGCCTCATAGCGCCTTTTTTCCAAGTGAAGAGGAAATCGCGAAAGCGATCACTCATTTTAATCGGATTTAATCTTCTTATATCATATTCCCCCGAGATTCTCATAAATTACCATCACAGTGAAGTTGAGTATTATTTGGATTTCGAAGCTACCTTATCATAATGAAATTTACAACTGTACCATAAATAGTCGATACTTTCAGTTTGATTCGCTTCGACATAAATTTCCATTGTCTCTGACAGAGAGGGTCGGACTTCGGTGGTTTTAATAAACTTAAACGTCTTCTCTCCGTATATTTTCTTGTGTACCCTTTAAAATCCATGCTCATCATATATATTTGATGTCCATGTAACTGGGTAGACATTATAAGATGGTTTTTACTGAGTAATGACAGAGTAATGTAGCTGCCAAAGAAGAGGTTCAGTTGACAAAACTGCGCGAAGGCTGCTCTGCCAAGGCCAATCGTTACCGGTATAGCAGCATTCGTGCGCTACACCGGCACAGCGATTTCAACAGTTCGAGTTCCAAACATCTCGATCTCCTGCCCTATCTGCGTTTGGATTGTTGGTTGTTGAATCCAGTCTTGGCCGTTGGATCACTACAAGACTAGCAAAATGTCAACGGCGAGGTAAAGTAAATTTACTAACACTCCCAGTAACTTTAAGAAGTTTAACACAAAGTCTATTTCAACTCAATTTTCATTAAAAATAGGGTGTCTGAACGATTTTTCAATTTTCAATTTGGGATCGTTTTTCACCATTTTTGTTTGATATTTGAATAAAAAATGTTATCAGAATAATACATTTCAAATTTCAAGTCTCACCGATGTTTCTATCAAAAGTTACAGCCCCTCCAACACGCTGGTATATTCATATCATTTTGGTCAAAATCGACGAAAAAGACGTCCACGCAGAGTGATGTTGTTTTGCTAAATTTAGCCAAACAGCTGTATCGCGCGATATGCAAGCGTATGCATATCGTACGCATGCTGCTAAGCCAATCCGCGACTTGCAGCTTGAGCTACGCTGTCTCCGCGACATGTGCGATTGACTAGTATTAGGGTGTCTGAACGATTTTTCAATTTTCAATTTGGGATCGTTTTTCACCATTTTTGTTTGATATTTGAATAAAAAATGTTATCAGAATAATACATTTCAAATTTCAAGTCTCACCGATGTTTCTATCAAAAGTTACAGCCCCTCCAACACGCTGGTATATTCATATCATTTTGGTCAAAATCGACGAAAAAGACGTCCACGCAGAGTGATGTTGTTTTGCTAAATTTAGCCAAACAGCTGTATCGCGCGATATGCAAGCGTATGCATATCGTACGCATGCTGCTAAGCCAATCCGCGACTTGCAGCTTGAGCTACGCTGTCTCCGCGACATGTGCGATTGACTAGTATGGTTGGCGTTCGTCGCACAATAAACCCGGAAGTGAATGCACGTTATAGTCAATGGCAATATCGCGGAGACAACGCACGTTGTCTCCGCGATATTGCCATTGACTATAACGTGTATTCACTTCCGGGTTTATCGAGGGAATTGCCAACCATAATTTCAGTCACTATAATTTGGGGTTTCGTTCGTGCGCGGAGATGTTACGCGATGTAACCATGGTTTGGACTGAGCGGAGCGCACGCCTCCTAATTAGCTGATCCACCAAATAGCGAGAAGGGTATTTTTAAACTGTTATCAGTTGTGATCCCTGGGGGCTAGCGAAAATATAATCACATAGAATTGTTCCTTAGGACTGGGACTACTTATCGATCGGGGCGTCATATCTCAAAAGTGACAAACCTCAGAGTTAGCCAGGACACAATGTTTAAATTGCTGTTTTGACCAAGATATTTTTAGAATTTCGGGGGCTACGCCCCTTTGGAAATATTGGAATTCACCTGCTCTTTCATATGACACCTCATTCATTGATTATCACCTTCAGGATCACAACTGATAAAGGTTTGAATCTCGATTTGAAAAAAAAAATTTGACTTTTTTTGCATGGTCGCGCAATGCACGTAGGCTGCATAGGGATGCGTGTAATCTCTATGGGAAGAATTTTAGCACACAACATCGGGTGCGCGATCAGACACCCTACTAGTATGGTTGGCGTTCGTCGCACAATAAACCCGGAAGTGAATGCACGTTATAGTCAATGGCAATATCGCGGAGACAACGCACGTTGTCTCCGCGATATTGCCATTGACTATAACGTGTATTCACTTCCGGGTTTATCGAGGGAATTGCCAACCATAATTTCAGTCACTATAATTTGGGGTTTCGTTCGTGCGCGGAGATGTTACGCGATGTAACCATGGTTTGGACTGAGCGGAGCGCACGCCTCCTAATTAGCTGATCCACCAAATAGCGAGAAGGGTATTTTTAAACTGTTATCAGTTGTGATCCCTGGGGGCTAGCGAAAATATAATCACATAGAATTGTTCCTTAGGACTGGGACTACTTATCGATCGGGGCGTCATATCTCAAAAGTGACAAACCTGAGAGTTAGCCAGGACACAATGTTTAAATTGCTGTTTTGACCAAGATATTTTTAGAATTTCGGGGGCTACGCCCCTTTGGAAATATTGGAATTCACCTGCTCTTTCATATGACACCTCATTCATTGATTATCACCTTCAGGATCACAACTGACAAAGGTTTGAATCTCGATTTGAAAAAAAAAAATTGACTTTTTTTGCATGGTCGCGCAATGCACGTAGGCTGCATAGGGATGCGTGTAATCTCTATGGGAAGAATTTTAGCACACAACATCGGGTGCGCGATCAGACACCCTATTAAAAAATGACAATTTTCATGATTATAAATGATAGACCTAGGTCTAGAGTAAACTAAAGGAGCCCGTTTTCGGCCACTTAAGACAAAATCCTATTTTTAGGACTCTTTACTTCCTATTTATTATCATTTCTTGTTCAAATCATGAAGCAAATATTATTATTTAAACAAAAAAGAATCCCAGAAAAAAATCACGAATTGCCATGACAATATTCATTTAAATTTTCACTGTTTTGGAGCCAGTTATCGGCCGAGTGTTTCAGTTTACGGCCGCATGTACAAAGTCAATAGGAAGCGCTCGCGCGCGCCGTGCGTTTCCGCGCTGATGTACAGCACAAGCGGGCGGAGCAGGTATCCAACGCCGGAGCTCCCTGGTGCTCGCCTGGCCGAAGACAGGCACAGCGGTGATCGGAAGTTGGAATCTGAATTAGACGGACATATCGTGTGTGCGTGGCGGGGTCCGGTTGCATTGATTTAATACATGCGATGAGATACTTTTGAGCTTGCGACTAACACAAAATCAGGCTCTTAATCTGAAAAATACTTGAAATAAAGCTGATTTTATGGTACCCATATTTCTTACATACACGCGTAAGAAACTCGATTTTTCAGATTTGGGTAGCGGGACCGGCGATTACATCGCTAAAATGTGATATTTTAGGATATATTTTCCTTTGCAAATGTGGTTCTTCAGTGACACTGGCATGGTATGGTATGTGTGGGATATGTGTTATGCTATTATGCGATGTATTTTAGAGTGATTTTACCTTGCATCCAACCAATCGGCCGAAAACTGGAGCTGGCCGATTACCCGCTCCTTTACTCTATCTCAAGTCAAGACTTGAGCTTTTTAAAGTAGATCTAACACTAAACCCAATCCTAACTCTAACCCTAACTCTAACCCTAACCCTAAAGTTAAGCTGGCTCTTCTTCACAACCATGACAACTGTGACCATACATGTGACTATTAATTCGTTGAGAACGGCTCCTAAACAAAGTTGTAATTTGTGAATGGCTCAGCCGAACATACACTACGTGCATGTTCTGTAATATTAATATTGGTGAATGGGCTACCCTGTCAAAAGATTAGAAATAAATAAATAAATAAGTAAATAAAATGTACTTCGGACCCTTGACACCGGTGTAGAGATTACTCACTATTCTAGATCTAGACTATATGATAATGATAACACACCCAAAATCATCTAGGCCTAGACCTTCAATCTTCCACAATTATTCAAATAACGGTCGCGATTTAAAATTCGTTATCTTTCATACCTGTTTCGTGTCAATTTTCTTATAATTTTTTGGAGTATTTTTTCCTAAAAATGAAGACATTAGTGTACACTTTCTCACAGGTATCACGGCAAACCGCTGCACAATGCACGTGCATACCGACGGTGGGTTTCAGGCGGGTACGCGCGTGTGTTAAGTTAGCAACCGCAATGATCATCATCAATTCATAATGTGAATTACTTGCATAAATTTAATGAGGATCTGAGATTATCGTCGCTAGCTTCACACACGCACCTCGTCCCATCGTCGGTATGCACTTGTTGTATTGTTCAGCAGTTTGCCGTGAAACCTGTGACAAAGTGTATAGGACTAATATCTTTGTTTTCAGTTAAAAAAATCAGAAAAAGTTAATAAAATTGACACAAAATAATATTGTCGCGCAAGTACAATAAAGAGACCCTACTTCTCCATATTAACGAGGTCGTCTGCCCCTAGGAAGCTGCCATTTTGTCAAAATTTCCCTTCAAAACTTCCGGGTTGTGATGTATCAGACGAGAATTAATGTAGTGTGCACAACGCGCTTAATATACAATACATTTGAAACATGGTGTTTGGTTGTAATAATTATTCCTCGAAAACCAAGGGGAAATCGTTTCATCAGTTTCCAGACTAACACAATCGCAATGAAATATTCAAGCTATAGGTAGCAGCTCTGAAGGTTGAGAAATTTGGGCGCAAAAAGTACAAGTACGACAGGAAAAACAATAATTTTACAGTTTACAGCAGGGAAACATACGTACACAATAGCCGCCGAATCCATGCGATAAGTCACAGAACGGGCTGTGCACAAACACGATGGCCCGAATTCACAGAGCAAGGTTTGAGCTCAAACCTCCTTTTGTTTCGCCAAACCTCCTTTTGTTCTTTTACAAACCAGGTTTGTAAAAAACGCGTAAAACGCGTCACATGACGTACGAAAACCAAGGTTTGTCGACAAACCTCCTTTGTGAATTCGGGCCAATGTCAACATTCTGAAAAGTCTCAGAGCCTGGAAAGATAAAGGATTCTGAAGAAGAGTTACGTCATCCCTTTTCGTCAAATGTATGCTTTTTTATATTTTCCAAATAATGTTTAAATGGCTATAAACTGAAATTAACATGTAGTTTGAGGTTAATTCCCCCTTTAAAGGCATGCTTTTAATACCGCCCACTTATTTGTCAATGAACTACAATCGTATACTGAGACAAAAGTAAATTATTTTTTATATCAATCAAAATCACAGGATCATAATTATACAAACTTTACTACTGACTAGAACTAGTTTGGAAGTTTAAAAAAATCTTCAAAAATGCCTTTTCCAATGTTAGCGACTTGTAAAACTACCTAGCTTAGGGAACTATTTTTACTTTCTCAAACATTTTTTTATGGGAACTTGTGATGAAAAGGCAAGAGTGATTTCTCGCTGAGTATTTTTTGCTAAACACCACTTTCCTTATCCTCAGATATTTTCTGAAAAAGAAAAAAAAGGGAAAAAAAGAGTGTTTTAATGCAACTTGTTTACCGGTTTGTAATAGACCTGTTCCAAGTGTTCATTCACATTTTTGTTAATAGTAAAATATTATGCTTTTTGTTGGGCAGCTTTTCAATAACATTTTTTAAAAGATTGAAGGTGATATTGCCAATTGCATTTAACTTACCGGTATGCTCCATTCCTTTCATGTATTTGTTTAACAGCTCAGAGTCTTCTACCAAGAAGACCTATGGCATCACATCAGCTATCAGTTTGGTGGGACCACGCCCTGAAGACAACAGGCAGACAAAGGAATTGGTAGAAGCTCTCAAGCCACATGGAGTCTTTGAGAATGAAGAGGAGCTTAACCACAGGTAAATTCAGGTTTATAAATGATACACTTTTTCATGATCATTGCATATTATTGAATAATGTCTATTTCTTTTTCTTTTCAATGAATACTCAACATCATTATCAGTTGCATACATGTGCTTTTTTCTTGTGTTTTGTATAAATTGCAGTTAATAATATCACATTTTGATAGTAAGTAAGGTGCATGTAATTTTTTTTCTCCATTCTAAGCACATTATAAACAAAATGCTAGCATGCTTCAACATTTTTATATGTGAATGTAGATGTCTGTCATTGCCACTAACTCAACTTTTCATTTGATTCTAGGTTGGTGGTGCTTGGGAAGCTTGACCAGATTGTCAAGGACTGGATCAGATTAGTAGCAGAGGAGAAAAACATTCCACCAAACATAGCCGATACAGTTGGAGGCAAGATCTACACATTTGGTTCTTATCGACTAGGAGTGCATACTAAAGGTCAGTTCACTTTGGACATTTTGGTTGAGAGACTCGTCTCCTTTGTGTATTATTATTCTTAAAGATAAAGACCAGTTATGGTCATGCGATTGCATTGTGGAAGGAACATTGTGGAATCAATCAGAAAAGGTTGATCATCTAGCATATAAGTATGGGTGTGTACTGCAAGGTTCTGGAATCATCAAAATGATAAGAAATTTGGCCCAGTCTAGGTGAACTTGCAAGCACTGTACACAGAAAGATGTATATGGGACTGATCATTTGTATGATCACGTATTAGTCAAAACATATTCTTTCACATGATTGGTAATAAGAGCTTCAATTTTATATTTTAAGAGGGGGGGGGGGGGCATTTCCAAAACTGGTCTTTACCTTTAATGAAAAGATTTCATGACAACTTTCTTACATTGATTTAGCTGTCCTCAATTTATTTACAGTTTGAAATGCATGCATACAAAAAAAATCTCAATTCCTTTATTTATGGATATTGAAAAGTTTGGGAATACATTGTAGTCTAGATAAATAATAGCTGAGATTAAATGTGTAAATCAATGATCTCTGTTTATTGCAGGTGCTGATATAGATACACTATGCGTAGCCCCTCTCCATGTAGAGAGAAGTGATTTCTTCAAGTCTTTCTATGACATTGTCAAAGCATTGCCAGAGACCAAGGACTGCAGAGTGAGTCAACAACAGATGTTTATATTTTCCTAATGTGTCATATTTTCCCATCTACTATTATTATGTTTGGAAGTTGGTATTTGTGCTAGTGTTCATGACCTTTTTCTTTTAAATTTTGTGAATAATTCATTTATAATTTTGAAATACTGCACAAGGCTGTTATGACCTTCATCTTTAATGAAATGAAAGTTTAAATGTGATTATGTATCTACTATATAAACTAAAAAAATGATAATCATATCATGAAATGAGTTACTCATGTAATTTCATTCATTATTAAAATCGCAAAATTATATTGAATTTAACAGAACAGCCTGAAACTATTCACAGAGTATTCAAATGAAAAGGCTAAGTTGGACCAATTTTCACTCAACTTTTACCGGCCAAAGTCTACATGTAGCTTGGACAATTTGTTATCCTAAAATTTATACTTGATGAGAAATATAATAAAAGTTGTTTTCCATTTCTTCAATCACATGTATGGTCTTTTATTTTCTTTATTTCAGGCAGTGGAGGAAGCGTTTGTTCCAGTAATCAAGCTAGTCTTTGATGGCATAGAGGTAGGCAAACCTAGATAATCTTCTTTGCACAGTTGGAGTCTTTACCATTGTACGTGTACTTCTTCAAGATAGAAATACAGTTTGACGTACATAAAGCACTTCAAAATTTATTATCATTTTGAAGAGATTATTACAATGAACTCAATTGACATTTTTGAATGACATGGGTCTTTGATGAGGAAGACCGAGTTGCATACTTTGTTGATGTTGTTGTTTTTAATCAAGTGCATTGATTTGAATGACAAAAGTAGGAAGTTACTTGTGAACAAATGTCAAGCAGCTTCCAAGAATTTAATGAAAATTGAATTAGATTTTGTTAAAACCTTCCATTTGAATATCATTCTAAATTCAATTTCAATTTGAATAGGCTAACTTATTAGACTACGCTATGATGCGCATAAATGTTTTCAAGTTTTTGATATACATTTTGAGAGAAAAACTAATGTTGACGACAAATGCTCACAAATTATGGCTTTTTATGATATATAATGATCCTGATTCCCTTTTTTTTTATTCTTTCAAAATTCCATATACTGCTTCTACCAGATGGATATAACTTCTGCAAAAACAATCAATAAGATTGAAATTTTAACAATTCAGCAGAGAATTTCTAAACACTTTTCACTACTTTTGACTAGATGGATATCCTGTTTGCCCGTCTGGCCCTCCGAGTTGTACCAGAGAACCTAGATCTGACAGATGATTCCCTTCTCAAAAACTTAGATCCAAAGTGTGTGCGCAGCTTGAATGGTACGATAAAAGCTGCAAAAATAGTAAATTACTATCATCAAAATTTACATGTATGTGTCAGAAGTGTTTGAAATAGGCCTGAGTCATGTAGGGAATTTTATAAACCTGGGCCCAATGGCCTGGCACTGAAATTAGCTAGAAGTATCTGTCACTTGCCTCTATAAATAGCGCATATCATCAGTATACCCCTTAAAAGTGACCTTTTTTATCAATCAAATAAAACAATGCATTATTGCATACCTCTGCTCAGATCGGTATATTCTCCTGTTTGATATTATTTTCTTCCATCTTTGCCGATGTCTAGTGCCATTATCATGCCTCTAAAAGTAAAAAAAAGGGGGGCAAAAATAGAAATGGAACATTTGAGCTGCCATTTTAATTCATGCATGATAAATAATTAAGGTTAAACAAATATTAATGTTAGAATAATAAAACGGCTTTCTCAAAAAGTCTTCTTTACAACATACCGATCGATTTTTTATTTTTTTTAATACAAAATAAATATTTTCCCTTATCGGTGATAGATCTTAGTTTTTGCTTTATTTTCATTTTTTGTTATCCACAGGGTGTCGTGTTACAGATGAAATTCTGAATGTAGTCCCGAGCAAAGAGAATTTCAGGTTGACACTGCGAACGATAAAACTCTGGGCCAAAAGTAAGTAGCAAGTTCTCTCAGTTTCACAGTCCTAACGAGAATAACAATTTTAGTTCTCATTTTTATCCAGAAGTTTAAAAAAGTGCAAAGCAGGAGGTTGCCATAGATTGTGTGATGTATTTGTATTTTTTTTAAATATTTCTTTTTTAAACAGATGGGGGGAAAAAGTCGTTGTGCAGCCACTTAATCTATTGGGAAACATATTTTGATTGTTTTTCTTGTGTAGATCAAGTAATTATTACGTTTTTATTTACCGGTATGTGATGTTGTGCTGTTATTTTTTTGTTGTAATAAAGATTTTGTTTCAGTCTGTGTAAATTGGCAATTTTAATGCTATTATTCCAATCACAGAGAAAGGTGTGTATTCCAATGCCCTTGGTTTCTTGGGTGGTGTATCGTGGGCTATGCTAGTAGCTAGAACCTGTCAGCTCTACCCCAATGCTGCAGCATCTACACTTGTCAACAAGTTTTTCCTCGTCTTCACAAAGTGGTGAGTGCAGTTAGCATAGAATTACTATCTTTTGAAGTGCAGAAGAGGATTATGTAATTAGTATTATGTTTCAGGTTTTTTGTTAATTACTAAAGACGGTGAGAGAGAGGGGCAACTTTATATGAGAGTTGGGTTAATCCAAGTTTCATGTTCTGACAAATTAAGATCAGGTATTAGATAGTGTTACAAAGTTTTCATTCCCAGTGTCTTATTTTTCAAATCCCTTTTCAATATTCCAAAGAGTCCTGACTTATTTATAATATTTTAACATCTATTTTATAGTTTATAAAAGTGAAATGTATAAATATAAGAATGATCAAAGCTAGGTATTCTCTGTATTTTTTGTTTGTGTGCATTTTTTAAAAAATGTAATAATACAAAGCAATTAATATGTTGATGACTATGTTGGTAATTTTTCCTGCGTGCACAGGGCATGGCCACAGCCTGTGTTACTGAAACCTCCAAACACCTCAACAGAACTTGGCTTTGCAGAGTGGGACCCAAGGGTGAGTACATAGACCTGATCAGGTTTTAACACTATGCTGCCCTTGTTTTTTCAATGCTATTAACTTTGTTACCAATTGAGAGCATGTTTGCTGTCATATTCTTTCTTTGATATGCATGATATGATAAAGACATGTAAAAAACTGCTTCATGTTCACTGTTTATCATACACATTTGACTGTATAGTAAGCTATTAATTCATTCACATGTTTGCATACTGTGTATTTTAAAGGTTGTTGCTCCTGCTAAAACTATGTCTCAAGATAATCCAGACAAGTTCTTAGCCATCCACATGCATCAAACACATCTACCTCTGTATAGATTGTTCAAAGAATGCATGTTCGTAACGCGTCCATGTATGATGTTTTACATAACTCAGGGCCACTGAATAAACATGTTATATTTTGAGATGGCAAGGATTTATTTTTATTCTTTACAAAAGTTATAGTTTTAAAGCAAATGCACATATTTCAATGGGATTTCTTTTCAAAACCAGCCATGTTTTGATGTAGAGATAACAAATTTACGTACGCCTCATTGAAAGAAGCAGTATGTCAGATACACTCAGTTTTATAACTTGCAGTATTGATTAACCGTCATTCTCTATATTCATTTAACAGGTGAATGTGAGTGATAGGTTTCACTTAATGCCTATCATCACACCAGCCTACCCTCAGCAAAACTCTACATACAATGTCTCTCAGTCTACCAAGACCGTCATAGAACAAGAACTTCAAGGAGGTCAGTCAGTAGAATATTTACACAATGTTTACATCTTCATGCATGTACACATTCAATGGATTGATGTATGTGGTTAAAGAAAGTTTGTCACAATTTGACTTTTTTATTTTTATGTTTAGTATATTTTTATAAAGTTTTCAAGTTATGTTTTCTTCTAAGAGGATGTTCACTACTGCAACCAGACATATATTCATTTTTTGGTCCATCTTTAAATTACATTAAAATATCTGTGATTTATGCTTGAATCAAATATTGTATAAGCTTGAATAGTATTGAAAGTTGATTTTATCTTTATATTGACCATATTATATGATCAGTGGAATAATGTAAGTTGGCATTACAGACATATGTGACTATTTTCATACCTTCCAATTATTGTTTTAATGGTCACCTCATCTTTAGGTCTCGCCATTACTCAGGAAATCATGCAAGGCAAGGCTACGTGGGAGAAACTCTTTGAATCTTCCAACTTCTTTGGGAAGTACAAGTAAGTAGTGACTAAATGATTTACCTCTTGACAGTCACATGCAAAGCACATTGAAGCCTAGGTCGGCAACCGACAAAATATTTCCTTATATACTCTAATTTATATTTCAAATAATAAATGTACATTATGGTTAAGGTTGCTTTTTACTGGATCAAGTTCATTGTATCATTTACTAGAATATTACTGATACGTACATTCAGAACTTCTTTACTATTTTGCCAATATATTGCATTTTCTTTTCTCCTCAGACACTACATTGTTTTGATAGCAAGTGCTGGGAATGAAGATGATCATCTCAAGTGGTGAGTATAGCTAGCTTAATCTTATCTCTTTTTTTTAAATTCGTCTTCCATGAAATTAAAGTATAAAAAGTCTTGCTATTTAGATATTTACAGACCATGTTTATGACATGTATTTACAATGACAAATAATAATAATAATAACGTTACTTATAAAACGCTTACCACCGAAGTCTCTAAGCCTTAAACAAGGCAAATCCTCAGTTCATGTATAAAGATATATAATTTTTTAAAAAATAAATATATCCAATGTGCCACAGAATTTGATAGCTGGAAGTGCATCCACAGTATCTGATTATACATGTAATATACACTACTTATAATAAAGCTCCTAATTTCTTGACACTTACCTTATTTCTAAATTTCTAAAAATTTGTTTGAATGGTAATATTGACATCTTTTGATTAAAGCCACATCAGCATTGATTTTCATTGGAAATTTGAGACCATTCAGGTATTCATGTGATGGTAGAATGATGTTATCAATTACTGAGAGTAGCCTTCCATTCTATGACCATGCACCGCCACCATAGTAAGGAAAAACCATCATAAATTTTCCCTCAGTTGAAGACTCTGAGAACCTGGAAGGGGGTGGGGTATTTTTTTTTTTTTGGTTGGACATCCAATTCGCTGTGTGCAAGACTTGTATTCCCATTTTTATGGTGTTTCCACCAAGTCCGGTGTCAGCAAATTATGACATACTGCATTTTGCATTTCATATCCCTCAATATTTTCACATTAAAGATTTTTAGCTGTTGTACCGTATTCACCATGTTCTTTTTCGTTTCTTGGATTGGAAGTTGAAGAGGTATAGGAATATATTTTCTTTCGCTTTTTTAAAATAACTAATTATTGTTTTCTTTGTTTGAAATCCTTTGTCTTTCCCATCACACTTTAGGGTTGGGCTGGTAGAATCAAAGATCAGAGTGTTGGTTGGTAACTTAGAGAGGAATCCTCACATCAAACTCGCCCATGTCTACCCCAAATCTATCTCACCCAGCACCCCGTTAGATGGATCAGTAGAAGAGAAGTAAGTCATCTCCTTGTTAGATATATACAACCATTATATCCATGCATGAGGGTTGTTGGCTAAAATGAATTGGAATCCATGGTGAAATATTGCGATGTGACATTCTATCATCCTTCTGTCATTTAATGCTATAAATCTGGTGGGTTATCCATATGTTGGTGATTCAATGGTGCATGTAAAAGGTTCAAAAGTAGGGGTTATTGATACATCAGGGCCCTGTCTAGCTTATAAAGAGTTGATATTAATCTCAACTTATTTGCGATTGATATCGATCACAAGAATGTATATTAGAGATCTGACCCTGCAAACTTGCGATGGGTTTGGATCGATCGCAACTCTTTATATGACAGGGCCCAGATTACATAAATTCTTTTGATACGAATGTGACAAGTGACATAACAGAGTCCCATAGTTATAAATGTGGATTATAAGAAAACCATGTCATATTGAATGGCTAACAATCATAGTTCATTTGACTTGGGCAAGAGAATTATCAGTTATCACTATATCTATATATCATATGTTCTCTCCTTTCTCCATGTCAGGACTGATGAGCATTCCACCCTATGGTTCATAGGCTTAGAGTTTCAGCCTCTGGGACCAGCAACCAATGTGAACTTGACCCTAGATATACAGTTCTTTGTCAACACCGTCCATAGACACTCAGTCACCATCAAGCTCCTACAGGAAGGCATGAAGATTGAGGCCAAGCATGTCAAGAGGTACGTGGGTCTAAGATCAACAGGCCTGATAAAAACCTGATTTAAATTGGTTTCCTGATTTATTTATTTTAATTTCCCTGAGGAGAAAAAACAAACCTATTTTATTTTGTAGTACTCACTATCACCCCTGTATCAAGCACTTCCAAGTGATACTAGCGGTAAGAATTTTACATCATATTATGCAAAACTCGATATTTTAAAAGTCTACACATTATAGAAGTTGTGTCCTCCTTTGTTGCAATATATTCAGTGACATATCTACTTGTAACATGATGTGTGACTTTTTTTATTTTAGATTTAGCTATTTTAAATGTTGCTGTCAGCATTTAAAATCTGAAGTATTTTAGAGGTGTCATAGACGAGTGGTTGAAACACTTGACTGGAGATGCAAAGATCGTGGGTTCAAGCCTGACACAGCAATAATGTCCTTTGACAAGACATTAATGTCTTTCTATATCCTTTCTGCTACAACAGGAAAAAGCTCAGTGAGTATGTCCCAGCTAGCATGCTCAAGTCCAAGAAGAAATCCCTCCCATCCACTGATGGGAGCAGTCGAGGCAACACCCCCAAGAACTCCTCCTCAGACGCAGCCTCCCGCCTCACCCCCTCACCCCTTAACAAGACGGGAGACAGCATCAGTGAAGACGAGTTCCTCTATGGACCTAACCTGAGTTCCCCAGCCCTTATATCTAGCCTTGATGTACGGGGGAGAGAAAACCCCAGTGCCAGCTCCATAGAGTCAGCAGGCACAGGGGATGGAGGGACAGAACCTTCTCAAGATACTGTATTTCAGTCACCCAAGTCAAGTAGAACCGAGCCATCGACAGACGAAGCCAGTACTGATACTGATGGCAATGGACCAAATACACAACCCTCATCTCAGGTATATTAAATCTCTCTCTCTCTCTCTCTCTCTCTCTCTCTCTCTCCCTCTCTCTCCCTCTCTCTCCCTCTCTCTCCCTCTCCCTCTCCCTCCTCTCCCTTCTCCCTTCTCCCTCTCACCCTTCTCCCTTCTGGTACTGATACTGATGGCAATGGACCAAATACACAACCCTCATCTCAGGTATATTAAATGATCTCTCTCTCTCTCTCTCTCTCTCTCTCTCTCCCTCTCCCTCTCTCTCCCTCTCTCTCCCTCTCCCTCTCCCTCCCTCTCCCTTCTCCCTTCTCCCTCTCACCCTTCTCCCTTCTCCCTCTCACCCTTCTCCCTTCTCCCCTTCTCTCTCTCTCTTGTAATTTGTCTGTGCCACTGCTACCAAGTATGACATTGGTGGTACAGTACTCTTTCTTGTGTGTTTAAACTGTATTTCAATACTGTTGTTCTTGAGGAATAAACACCTAAAAACCATATACATTTTCTTTTGCCCGTGTTACTTTATGAGCAACTGTAGTCTATGATTGATTATGAAAAATATTAAAATGTATTTGCAAATGTTAGTATTCTTAATCCAATTTCTAATTGAATTTACAGGAAGAACAAGCCCCTACAGGAAATGCTGCTGAAATCCCGACCATCAAGGTCACTGCTCCCGATGAAGACACGCAGGAACCTTCAATAAAACCATCAGGGGATGATGCACAGACATTCAAACGCCCCTCATCCCCACCTCCGGTGTCAGAGTCACCCTCAAAGAAAGTCAGAACAGACAATGGAGTCACAATTCCAGATACCAAGCAAGGAGAAGATGATAGTGAAGTGAAGGAGACAGAGGAGGGGGAGGATGAGACACAAACCTTCAAGAGGCCCTCGTCCCCCGTCCCAGTCTTAGAGTCACCTCCCAAGAAGATGAAGACAGACAATGGGATCAAGGCAGGTGGAGAGCCTGTATCTCTCACTTCAGACTGCAATGAGGTAAGTTTCAAGACAGTTGGTTGGTCATTATACTGGAGTGTTGAAAATCTGTATGCTTGTAACTTAGCTCCAGTGGACATTGTCCCTCTGTCAGAGGCATTGTCATTGATAATATAGATCTTACCTTTGGCTACTGCTGCACTGGCATGGTTTTGGAAATGAAGTATCTCATTTGTCAAGATCTGTTGAATCCACTTGCCATACTGCCTCTATATTATCAGATTAGTTGATTTGTTTATAGTCATCAAGCATTTTTTACTTTCCATCATATCATTACATTATTTAATGAAAAGAGATCAAAGTACATTTATCGTGTCTTGAACATGAAATCCTGGTAATTTGTGCTTTGTCCATACACATGGGCAATAATGTGAAGTTGAAATGTGGTTCCCAATCTATCCAACTATAGGGATTTAACTTAAAATATATATTGGTTTTGCAACTTTGTGGATGTATCTCTACAAAGAGGTAGCTTAGACTTACCCAGCTTAAGATTGAGGGAATGTCTTGAGACATTGGACTTGTCATTAAAAAAAAAATTCACATATTTTAAAGATATAAAGAAACTGCAGAATGTCTGTAAAAAAAGGGTATATTTTGATGCCTTTAAGTTTAAGATTTTGTTTCCTATATTTTCAGAATGGAGAGAGTGAAGAAGATACAAGTCCTCAACCACTACCTCGCTTAGTCATACGACAGGTAGGTGATCAGTGACAAATTTTTACTCGCCATGTTTTGTTAAATCTCATTTAAAATTTAAAAAACATATCAATTTGGTTGATGTATTTTGTAAACACCAATCGTTTGTATTAAAGATTGTTGTGTTGCACGTTCATCAAAATTAGACCCAAATGTAGATTTGTCCATCATTGGCATTAAAAGATTCATGACAGTTTAATCATACTTAATTTGCTAAATACCAAATTTTTAATTCATCATATTTCTAAAAGGTTATTTTTCATAAGAAAAGACTGTAATGTTTATAAATGGGCTCTTGTTGAATAGCCCCTCAGTTCAAACACGGACATTTTCTCTCTGGCTCCTCCTTTTTTTGCAGTACGTTATGTACATGTAATGTGTACATGCAGTTATTATACAGTTATTACTATAAAATTACTCCTGAGAGCTTTCTATCTTCAAAAATCATGATGAATGGTGTAATAATGACAGGCTCTTAGATTTGCATGAAATTTTATACCTGTCAGTCTTGAAGCCATGGTGCTTGCTATGCTCATCGAGATAGCATCAAAGAATTTTTTTTAGTAATAGCTTTGTTTGGGCAAAAATATTATTCTTTTACAGGATTAGTGAAACTCATATGTGGTTGCACACATACTTTCTCTCTTCTTCTTTCTTTCTTTTTTGTTTCTTATCCTTTCTACCATCACAGAGAGTACCCAGCGGAGAGCTACCTGATATGGCTTCCCCACTTCCCGTCGCCCCGAAAGCCCCCATCGCAAAAAACACAATAAGACTGAACTTGAATGTGAAATGAATACAGATAACTCAGAATATGACTCAGGGTCACATAGCCTTGATCCTTGAAGTCTCATGCAGTCTGAAAACTTGCAAACTTGCGATGATGTTCTGAATTTCCTCCAGGTACTCGAGGCAGTCAGTGAGGAAATAAGGTAAGACATCTGCACGCCCATCATTGATTCTCACACGAACTCGGATCATTCTTCTTTTAGAGAAGAAAAAAAAATCCCGAAGAATATGCTGAAGATGAGAAAAGTAGGCGTTCGATGAAGAGAGGAGATGGATCCCTTTTGTACAAATAGATTTGTACCTTCAAAGGAGTATAGTATTCTTTATAGACCTCATGTAATTTACATTTCTAGGATGAGATAGAAAAGAAACATGTTGTTATCGTTGTTCATTTCTTCTGTTCATATTCAGTGATGTGATGATATCTGTGGAGTAATTTTGATATTGAATTAATAAAAAATGGGAACTATTAACCAGAAAGGTAATACCTGTGAATTTTGTTTCATTTCCTTCAGAGTTTGTCACATATATTTGAAATGGGATTGTAATGTTGGTAGTAGGAGGATGCTTATCCAGAATATATAAATATATCAAGAGATCATAAGATTGTGATAGAAATAGATAAACAGCAGGCATCTAGATTTTAGTATCATGAATATTTATGGGGATATTTTTTTATTGGTTGGGGTAATCTCTGTATTGTGAGATATTCTTTTTTTTAAGCAATTGTTTCATGGAAAATATTGATGCCTACACAATTTTAAGCTGTATGCTACAAGGAAATATTAATACTTTTGGATGAGGAAATCGTTTTAGGTGAATATTTCTTTTGAGGCAGTGGTTACATTTATGATTGGAGGAAAATGATATATCTCTTTTCTTTCAATGCTACAAGATAATACTTGTTATCAGAATTGGATGAGAAGAGTGTGATTTATATATGAACAAATCAACCTCCAGTGTTTTGTAAAATGCAGAAGGGCATGGGGAACATATTTTATGCGATTTCCAGGACTGTCAATTCTAGGGCAATTACCTGATTTCAAACTTATTTACCTCTTTTTTTTTGTTATTATACCCGTTACTTCATTTTATACAGAGCATGTAGAAATCCAATGGGACTGGGTTTTTTATTTGTATAGTTTCAACTAGTATCCCAGGAGAAACCGATATACTGATTAAAGAAGTTTCTGAAATAAGGTCTCTGTCAAACAATGATTAAGAATCTTGCAAGTAACAATCTATATGCATAGCTTGCACTTATTTAGTGAAGTGCTATGTTACTTCTTGGCATCGCCAAATGTATCTAAAGTAGAGGTTCATTGATTTTAGATGTTTATTTAATTTGTATGATTGCATAAGGGAAGGTAAGATCAAACAAGTTTATACAAATTCCTCATTTGGAAACATTCAAAGTAACGATTATTATCAATTAAAAAGTTAAATACTGCGCCACTCTCATATTTGAAGAGCTCTCAGAATACTGCTGAGATTTTGGACGTCGCACAAGAGACCGAATTAGCTTAAGCAAACGATTTTACAATGCACTCAGTGCACTTTAGTGCCGTTTCTTTGTCTCTTTTTTTACTTCACCAGCGTCATTGTAACTGTTTGATCTGTTGCCTCACTTTAAATTTGGGACATGGTTCAATTTTAATGGAAAATGCATCCTTATTCAAAAAATTAAAAAAATCAGATGTGGCTTTACTATGGCTTGCATAAGAAAGATGACTTTGTACATTCAGCTACATACACCAACACATGTGCAACATTTTAATCAGGAACGAACAATACTTATTCCATCAATCCAGGGGCTTTTTTTAATTTGAAGGTGGTCTGATTTCATTGTTTTTTTGATCAATGATTTATCCTTGCCCTTTATAAATTGTCTAAGTACAGCATTATAATCATCCGAATCAGCATCACTTCCCATTTAAAATGGTGTAAAATAAGTTCATGTTTAAAATGAATCAAACTCTTATAGTTGAGGAACAATTGCACTGAAAATATGTTTATTAGTTAAAGGATGTATGCATACGCAGGGTTGGTCCCTGATGTGACGCCTTCAAAACATCGCTAAGTTTTCTGACAAAGCGCTCATATATTACAGAACCTCAGAGGTGTTTTTATTTTTGTTATTTTGGATTGTCCAATGCACAGTTGACAATTGTCATCTTCAAGCTTCCTGGTTTTTTAGTGATAAATTATCAGCCATACTGATAATTTTCAATGAATGTCTACTTTAAAAGTATGTGAAAGAAAGGAGACAATAAGACAAGAACAAAATGAAAAAGTTCGCTATGGCTGTCGTACTTGGGTACAAAGGTGAAAACATGAAGAAACATCATGGAAGGGGCATGCCAACGAGGGAATAGAAGCAGCACTTACACTTGAAGAAGAAGAAGAATACATTTAAAAAATGGAAAGTAAAAAAAACAGAAATGAATGAAATACGCATTGACTGAGATAATATGGAAAGTAGTAGAGAGTGAGAGATTGAGTGTGTGGTCTGCGTGAGGGAGAGAAATGAAGTAGAAAAAATATGTTTGTTGAATTTTGTTTTTTCTCTTTAAAGATAGAGAAATGTTTGGCTTTTCCCATCTTAAAACAGAAAGAAAGCCCTACACTTACGTGAATAATCCAGACTGATAAAGAAGCATTTTATATTTGTTGGAATAATATGCCATACCTACATGTAACACTATCTGGTAAACACTTTGTTGATTAGTTGAGTTTAATCACAACTTACTTGCATGTCAGTTATATATCCCTTCACCTTCCTATCAGGCTGTATATGTTATAACAGGTGTTCTAATCTGTCATCCCTCTCCTCTCTCCATTCCTCTTTCTCTCCTAATCTCATGCTTGATAATCTGTCTCACAAATTGAAATTTTATTTTTCTGTCTTGCTATCTAATGAATCAATCCCCTCCCACCTAACCTCTTGATGTTATCAACTTAACACCATTGCTGATATTGTGAGATGTTTTATCACCGGTGTTCTCGTCTTGCTGTTACTAGCATACTGACATCGGGGGCATGTCATTTGTTTGTTGTTAGGGGGGGTGTCATTTCTCCCCTCCCCCCTCCCCATCACCAGAATTCTGTTGAAAATTCTCCCAAAAAATCATATTGTCATGGAAACTGCATTGTTCCCAATTTCCCGACCTTTTGCCAGTTATGTACAGCACGTCTTCTATGCTGTATTCAGTATTGAGTTGTGTGCTGCAAGGTGTTGCTGTTGCTGCTGTTGTGTGTACGTGTGTGTGTTTATTGCCAATCAAACATTCGCATGGTACATGTATGCTTGTATTTTTTTAATTTTTCAAACTGAACACTACAATAGCTTCAGCTGTAAACCAAAGAGGTAATTTACCTCATCAGTAGTGTAAAGATCAATGTACAGTATAAGATGTATGTATATGTATACTTGTACCTTATTTTATTTTATTAAAGGTATTCTTGACAGTCAGGGAGCATGTATGTACTTTACAAAGAAACGTAAAGAATGGTTTTGATTATTATGTAGACATACTGCTTCCTTTTGTCTTACTGCACTCAGTAAAGTTAAATACAAGAGTAAAGAGAACTCAACATTATTTTATTACGACTTTCTGTACATTCCTGCATTTTACTGTGATGTGTAGCATGACTTGATAAAGCAGAATGTCTTTGTTTAAAACTATTCTTTGGATTGGTAGCATTAATCATCTCTAACTATTAGTGATTAATTTTATATGCAAAGACCGGTCAGAGTGAGTTTGCCTTCATAAGGCAAAAAGTTTTTATTGAGAGATGTTTAATATGATATTAATGTATATTAGTTTACAGTTAAGTAATTTGACCAAATAGTTCCTAAGAAATGTCAGTAATGTTTTGAGGCTTTATAGATTATTCTTTTTTGATAATGGTGATGATGTGCTTGTTCTTGCACTATCGTGTTGTAATAGATCTTTGATGTAATGCATTCAAGTTCATGTTTCCTCTTGTCATGATGAAACTTTTTTTCTCACCTTGCTAAGTCAGATATACCTTTGACAAGCTTCTTGGGGTGTCAGGAGCAATTTACTTGAAAAAGAATACATGAAATGGGAATGCATAACAAACCGGGCCTATTATGGTGATATGCATACACACTATTTATTCATCAAGTTTCTTGAATGCAGAAGCAGAAGTCGGTGCGTATTCATATACATGAAATGCATTTCCGCTCAATATTTGCAAACATGTGTACTTCACTTAAGCAGCGAGACTCTTATTTATTATGTGTTTTTTTCTTGAGCTATATCATATAATATACCATTAAGAATGCTAGGATAAGAAACAACTAATAGAAAATATCCAAGTATCCTTTGTTTGAAGAAAAAATTTTTTTTTTTAAAGAAATGCTTGATCAGGATGAAAATAACAGAGCAGAATGTTGAGAATACTTGGATTTAGATACAATTGATTGTTTAGGGGAAAAGATAGAGAATAGAACATTAAAATCTGGCTTATTTAGGAGCTGTTCTTGTATTTACAAATGATAGAATACAAAATTCTGAAAAGATTCAACACAAGGTGTATGGAGTAAAGATGTAAAAATTTAAAAGTTGATTTCATAAATGTTAAAGATTGTATGCTAATATTTCGGACGCTCAAGAGACAATATTGTATGTTAGCCTCTTTCCCTGTATTTTTTATACTTTTTTCTATAACAATATAAACTGAGATACAGTAAGTGAAAAGGGTAAGAGCAGTGTGTATTTCGTGTTTGTAATTTGAGGACTTTCATCTGCTCATAGACATCAGTCAAAACTTGAGTCATATCTTTTGCTGGTACAGATGGATAGAGGTTTAATAGTGCTTTCATGATTTTATCTGAGATTGTTTTTATTTTCAAACTGAAGGGGCTACTTTAGAAGTGTCTTGAAGTACTTCACATAATTGCTAAATTTACCATAGCAGTGACTGTCTGCATATTAAACAATATTTGTATTTTTTGTATGATAGTAAACAGATGTCTAGAAACTATTTGTGATGCCCTCATTGTTGTTTATGTCAGTAAATCGTTTGAAATGAACATGGTATATTTGGACATACGAGCTGGTAATTTAAAAATGACAATACCATGCATTATATATTCAACATTCATTTTTTTCCCCTTTTAAATTTTCGGAAACTTTTGAATTCAGACAGCCATACATAATATGATTTGTTTGTGCATTTATATACAAAATTAACCTACATAGGTTTAAATTTATCGTACAAATGTCTATCTGATTCAATTACTTGTTATTGTTGTTAAGTATTCTGTTGATTTTAATCATATATTTGTGATTGTGTAGCTCAACTCTACTTTTTCTGCAGTCTAAAATATTGCCAAAATGTGTAAAGTTTTTGAGGGACTGTCTGCTTTTGACCCTATTTGTAATCTTGTAATATTAAGACTACTGTATGTGAAACCAATAGTGACTTTTACACATTCAACAGCCAGTTAGGTTTTTTATTGGTAAGTTCTGGTCTGATTTTTTAATATAGATATGGGTATTTTCTGTTTCACTGCAACTGGGGACAATCATATTGATGGCTTTATTTACATGCTGTATGTTTTGTAGACATAAAACTATTACTATTTCTTGTTAAGAAATTATCAACCAGCACAATGTCTGTTCAAGGTGTGAAGACAGTCATGCTGAAGAAAGATACCATATATAATGTGCATATTGCCCTCTAGTGCAAGTTAGACTAGTCTTAAGTTGTTAGCTTTTCCTGTTTAGATTTATTTATTCTCTGTAACTGTGGCTGTAGAGAGGTGATAACTGGTGGTGTGAATTATTTGTTGGAACTTTTGTATAGAAAATTGAGAGTTACTCGTTTATGATCAGTGTCCAGTGGAGTGTTTCACAAAGACTAAGATCGACTTAAGTTGGACTTGAACTGTAGTAAGATGTTAGTTCCTCTAACCATTCCTGGCATTGGTCTCCCAAGGGACATACAAATCGTGGTCACAAATCGACAAAATTTACATTTAGTTTATTATTGAATGAAAAGATATTATCTGAAGATCATAATTTTCAAGGTTTTTCCCTCTAATTTTGCATCTAGTGCAAGACTTTTTAAGTGCATAAATCTCATATCCTAGTAGAATTCCAAGTCTTAAATATAACTTAAGTTTACAATGTAAGTAACTGTTTTTCTTTAAAAGTAAACTATCAAAAATGTAAATTCTGTACATTTGTGACGTCCCTTGAGAGACCAATGGTGAGAGCAACCAGTGTTACGAAGGGCCTGCCATAGTTCAATTCCAACTTAAGTCAATCTTAGCCTTTGTGAAACACCCCCCAGGAAGCATATATGATTTAAAGGCAACCTAATGTACATGTGTGTATGTGTAGTAGCATTTTAAACCACAACAGTATGACTGTGCAAGCTCCAGAGACTGAACAAATTGTATGATTTATATAATGATACGTGATGAATGTCCAAATGCAACAACTGCAACGTTACTTTTCAGAAAATACAGTAGAAAGTGAAGTTGTAGGTGATAATTAATTAATTATCTCACCTAGATTTTAAGCACCTCTATTATTGAAACTCATGTTAAATCTGCCCAAGGTAGATTTCAAGTAGGTTGATTATAAATACGAACCAGAGCAGAGTCTTTATCTTCTGGTGATACCATTCCTCTTGGCCTTTATGCTTATATTTTCATTGGCCTATTTTCCTTTATTATATTTATATGAATATAGTTTATACATGTACAAGGATTGTGACTGCTGAGAGCCAGAAGGACATTAATGCATACCATAAAGATTGCGCCTTTCTGACTCTCAACAGATGGATTGTTATGTCCGTTTCCATAACTATAGAAAACATGTTTTCATGTGTGTATGTATGCTACCTTATTAAATCATTAGCATGTATGAGGAGCCATTATTATTGCAGTTCAGGTGATAGAGATCTCTGTACATATAGGAAGTATACCAGTTATATGTAGAACAGTAACAACATATACACATGGTCTGTTCAGGGCCAGAAGGGCATTTACTGTGTGTTAAAGTATATGTGTGAACACCCTTCTGGCTCCACAGACAACGTGTAAGTATTTTATGTACTTGTGTCCCGTTTGTTTCATGACCTACTCGTTTTGAAAAGATAAAAACTTGTACAGTATCTTTTGTGTATTTTATTATGAAGAAAACAATAAATAACAAATATGGCAGGTGACCAAGCAATAAATGAGTACTGGGTCTTTTAATTTCTGCTCGTTATTATTTACCTTGACAGGAGAACTGCAAGATAGAGAGACTGATATGAGTATATGAGTAATTTGATGTTCTAAAAATCAAGTGAAAGGAGGATGTAAAATAAGAAAATAGGTCACTGATTGATATGATGAAGTTCACAATCTATGCATATTTGGTTGCAGGCTTAAGCAGCTATTTATATTTAATGTAACACAAACATTGCTAAACAGAAATACCTTTCCGAATACGAAATCCTACAAAACAAACAAGTTTTCTCCTTCCATTCATTTACATTATCTCTAATGTAACTGATCTGCATTAGCCCTGGAAACCTTTGATATATAAACAATAAACTATCAATAAAGAAAATGTATCATTTTAAAACAAAGCATATTACAGGCCAGTCAAATTCTAGGGTTGATATCACTGGTGAGTAAAGTTCAAACGAAGTTTCAATCCCGTGGTTGTCACTTATTCCAGTTTTCTGCAAAAAGTTAAATAGTTAAGCTACCAGTACTGAAAATATCTTTATGTTAAATCTTTTTCATCCCCGCCCCTCCACACATAAATAACAAAGAATAGAGGAAATAAACAAACGTCCCTGGTTCTGATTTTTACTCATTTTTGATGTTGGTATTTTCAGTGCATCTAGATTCAAAAGATGTGACCATGATGAAGTTTAAGTTCGGCTGCATTTTTTCCCTGAAAATCCGCCAAATTATAATTATACGTCTATTTTGACGTATCCGCGCTCAAAGCCGTCTGCTGCTGTGACGCCGACCCGTCGTATGTTGTCGCCGGAGTCGTGCCTTGGTCGAGCGGTGTCTTGTCCCCCTTGCCTCCCTCCTCTTCACCCCCTACTGTAGCCCATATGATACACTTGAAGGGTAGCCCTATGAGGAAGAGCACGACGTCTAGGATACCCTCAATGCAAGGCGCACAGCATGGACAACATATCTTAACTGGAGGTAAGGGAGAGATAGAGACAATAAATGAAAAGAATATAGGCAGAAAATTGAGGATCGACAAAGAATATCTACTCTTCATTCAAAAGCACCAAAAGTGTTTCCTTTAAGAAATTGTTCAAGTTCAAGTTCAAGTTTTATTTCAATTCAAATCCATAAAAAACATATAAGATACAGATTATATACAATATAGAAAACACAAGAACACACACAAAATGGAAACATGTCTACAAATATATCGGAATTATACAAAGTTAATTAGCAATAGAAATTAATTGGGGAAACTGCAAATAAAACTATAAGGTTCTGTCGAGGCAGTCCCTGTTTTTAAAAGATACATATACAAGTTCCAACAATTGGCTATAAAAAATATAACAATAACAAAAACGGTGTACAAAGCATAGAAGACGTATTAACATGCAAATATTATTATAGATTTAAAAACAGATGAAGTATTTTTTTATTTTAGATTTAAAAGAGTTTAAGACAGCAGTATCACGGACATCTCCGGGGAGAGTATTCCATATTTTCGGGCCAGTGTGTCCAAAAGTAAATAAAGAATTTGTTGATGGACATTTTTCAATAAAATAGTTATCAGGATTTCTAATATCATAATATTATTGCATCGTCTTATGTTACTGATTGACTCAATTACAATAATTGTTTCACAATTAACTTTTTATTTGATTATTACAATAATTATCAGTATTATTTTGCTTCACTGTCATTATGTTCATGGATTTTTAACCCTTTTTCTGTTTTTTTTTCTTCTTTCTTTCCTTTATATACATTTTTATACAAGAAGAGAGTATATATTATTTTATATACGCATGGGTGACTGTCTATTGTGGATTTCGGTACAAATAGCAGTATCCCCCCTTGAGAAAAAAAAATTCGTGTATTACATTATTAAAAACACGTGATTGTTACCCTTTTGGGGGGTTGCCCCCCCCCTCCCCCCTGCGCTTAAGGGGGGGGGGGTCAAATTTTTAAATTTTCGAGGACCAAAAAAAAAAAAGTGCTCACAACTTAGTTGGGCCCCCTCCCCTAAGAAATCCTGGATCCACGCCTTCATCTGTTCATGGATAATGTAAAACATTTTGGTATAGACATGGTCTGATAGCATGATTAGCTCAGTGGTATATACTTACATGGGCAGCACAGGATACCGAGTATAATTCCTACGAGACTAACTACGAGCAGAACAGGAAGACAGATGATCACAAGAATGACCTTGAATATGACCACTATAATCTCTCCACAGGTCTGGGGGCACGACATCTTTCCACTCTTCAGGATGAAATACAAACAAACTTAGTTAAATTTCTATGCGAATAAAATTTAAATGAATTTATTATTCTGTAAATGGTATAGGCCGCTGCACGACAATAATTAGACTTGCTTCCTATATGAAACGACTCAACAAAAATAGCAAATTAATTGTTTTAAACAAAAATTAAGAGAGATGTCCACACTTTGGACGATTGTTTTCAACATAAATAATTCGCCATTAACTTTCTTGCTCATCACTATTCAATCTCCATTCTCCTATTTACAATTATTGTGACTTTATTGAGTTAGTTTTTACAAAACATATGGCATATATTATTTTCATTTTTCCAGGGAATACGGATCACTGTTTATGTCAAATTGAGTCAAACATCACTGTAACTAAAATTCGTATAGTACCGAATAGAAGTAATAATAATGATAACATATAGGATTTACTGATAAAGCGCCAAATCCACCTCAAAATTAAATGCTCAAGGCGCACTAGTGCAAAAATACAATATAACTTAAAAAGAAGACAATTCAGATCAACTAAAAGCAGACTGAAAAAGATAAGTTTTAAGGTTGCTTTTGAAAGATTCTAATGTAGGAATATCTCTGATCCCTCGAGGTAAACAATTTCAGAGTGATAGCCCAGCATGAGTGAAATCTCTCTCCCTCCATTTTGTATTAAGTTTTGGAAGAACAAGCAATCCAGGTTTTTTGAGAACTTAAAGATCTGGCAAGTAATTATAGTGATTAATCAAAGAAAATGTGTAGCAGAGCCACGAACACAATGAAACATAAACAAAAGAACTTTTAAAACAATACGTTCTTTTATGGGTAACCAGGGAGGTGAGAGTTTCATCTCCCTGGGGTAACCAATGGAGTTTCTTGAGAACCGGTGTGATGTGACTGTGTCTGTTGGAGAGGGTAACAATTAATGCGAGCAGCGGCATTCTGCAATTTGTGTAATTTGGCAAGCTGAAGTTCTGGCATTGAACCCCGCATTAAACATATTTTCAAAAGTAAACATCTAAATTAACGATCTGAAACGAACAATTATTAACCATTTTAGCACTCATAATGTTTGGATAGATTTATCTTACCTTGGTTATCTTATTGGGCCGAGTGTACTGCTCCAAAAGGCCTTCAGCAGGGGAATCGGATCCGCTGAAAAATTACTTTATTTGGAAAAACAATGCAGCTTACATCGTCGTTTACACGACTTGAGATCAAAGGAAAAACAAAATTGGTTATTTGCGAAGTAGTATCACCTTGCATATGGTTTTGATTTATGCGGGCTTGATTAAACGTATATAAACGCTACAGTTTGCATTATTTTCTCTTCCACTCCATCTGTCCTTCTCCATACGTTCCCACTCCCTCGCTCACCCCCCCCCCCCCTCTCTCTCTCTCTCTCTCTCTCAATCTCTCAATCTCAACCCCTCTCTCTCTCTCTCTCTCTCTCTCTCTCTCTCTCAATCTCAACCTAAATCTCTCTCTCTCTCTCTCTCTCTCTATCTCTCAACCTAAATCTCTCTCTCTCTCTCTCTCTCTCTCTCAATCTCAACCTAAATCTCTCTCTCTCTCTCTCTCTCTCTCTCTCTCTCTCTCTCAATTTCAACCAAAATATGCAGTTATTTCCACAAAAGGAAGGCAGTAAGGATGAACAATGACAACGCGAGGCAAATTATTTTTCTGCTTTAAATTTTGTTGGCTCAGTCAGTAGAGCGTCCGCCTCACAACCGGGAGGTCGTGCATGGGTTCGAAACCCGGCCGCGTCATACCAAAAGACGTCAAAAGATGGGAGTTGTTGCTACCAGGCGCGGATCCAGGATTTCTTAGGGGAGGGGGCCCAACTTTTTTTTTTTTTGCTCCCGAAAATTTGAAAATCGCGCCGGCCGAAAAGTCGCTCAGTGGGGGGGGGGGGGGGGGGGGGGGGGGGGGGTACAGAGCACAATTTTTTTTTTTTTTTTTTTTTTTTTTTTTTTGCTCCCGAAAATTTGAAAAACGCGCCGGCCGAAAAGTCGCTCAGGGGGGGGGGGGGGGGGGGGGGGGGAGGGGGGGGGGAGGGGGGGGGAGGGGGGGGGGGGAGGGGGGGGGGGGGGGGGGGGGGGGGGGGGGGGGGGGGGGGAGGGGGGGGGGGAGGGGGGGGGGGGGTGGTTAGTGAGCACTTTTTTTTTTTGATCCTCAAAATTTTTTCAATTTGCACCCCCCCCCCTTGAGCGCCAGGGGGGGGGGGGCCCAACCCCCAAAAAAGGTAAAAATCACGTGATTTTACATGATTTTTTTCTCAAGGAATTTTTACTTGCCAGATCTTTAAGTTCTCAAAAAACCTGGATTGCTTGTTCTTCCAAAACTTAATACAAAATGGAGGGAGAGAGATTTCACTCATGCTGGGCTATCACTCTGAAATTGTTCTCTCTCTCTCTCTCTCTCTCTATCTCTCAACCTAAATCTCTCTCTCTCTCTCTCTCTCTCTCTCTCTCTCAATCTCAACCTAAATCTCTCTCTCTCTCTCTCTCTCTCTCTCTCAATTTCAACCAAAATATGCAGTTATTTCCACAAAAGGAAGGCAGTAAGGATCAACAATGACAACGCGAGGCAAATTATTTTTCTGCTTTAACTTTTGTTGGCTCAGTCAGTAGAGCGTCCGCCTCACAACCGGGAGGTCGTGCATGGGTTCGAAACCCGGCCGCGTCATACCAAAAGACGTTAAAAGATGGGAGTTGTTGCTACCAGGCGCGGATCCAGGATTTCTTAGGGGAGGGGGCCCAACTTTTTTTTTTTTTTGCTCCCGAAAATTTGAAAATCGCGCCGGCCGAAAAGTCGCTCAGTGGGGGGGGGGGGGGGGGGGGGGTACAGAGCACAATTTTTTTTTTTTTTTTTTTTTTTTTTTTTTTGCTCCCGAAAATTTGAAAAACGCGCCGGCCGAAAAGTCGCTCAGTGGGGGGGGGGGGGGGGGGGGGGGGGGGGGGGGGGGGGGGGGGGGGGGGGGGGGTGGTTAGTGAGCACTTTTTTTTTTGATCCTCAAAATTTTTTCAATTTGCACCCCCCCCCCCTTGAGCGCCAGGGGGGGGGGGCCCAACCCCCAAAAAAGGTAAAAATCACGTGATTTTACATGATTTTTTTCTCAAGGGGGGGGGGGGCCGGGCCCCCCGGGCCCCCCCCCCCCCCTGGATCCGCCACTGGTTGCTACCTTGTTTGGCGTTCAACAATAAGGGATAGAGCAACGTCGATCTGGCGCTGCTCAGTGGCTGCCGGGCTCACGATCAATTGGGCAAAAAGAATTTCCGTTTGGGTTTAATAAAATTTGGAGTGGACTATTAGGCTATTATTATTATTATTATTATTATATAATTATTGATTACAATTATTTTACATAGTTATATCTACCAAATTATTTATCTCTCTCTATACCTTTACATTCCCTTCCAAATTCAACTACCCGCGTTTGATAATCTTCTGCCATGTTCTACACACACTGTATAGGTATAGGTACCTTATTGATAAAATGAAAGCATTTCCAACTTCTATTCTCTCCAAATATGAACATTAACTTTGTGAAGACTATGCTTATGATTAATGTTGCGTAAGCAGGTATATAGAACAACATTCATGTTTAAACAGCATAAGAGCACCATGCACAATGACGACAGTAAATTAGGAAACTGGATTAATATTTTATTGTACATATCAAACTGAGCTGCGACCGACATTACCTCATATAAATTTCACACTAAATGTCTCATCAACATTAATATGTAAAGACTCTAATTCATTTATTGAATGCGGACATCCATTGAATTTTTTTATAAATATAAGCATAACGTATGTCTCCAGCGAGGCACCTATAACAACAAGAGCATCGTATGTGTGATAAGAATATCGTTGCATGCATCAATAATTATTCGTGATCTTCGCTACAAAAAATGCTCAATATATTGGATGTATAAGCATGCAGTGTAAACGATATCATCATCAATAACAGTCTCTGATTTCTAAAACTAGATAAAAACTAACAATACAAACATAATCCCTTACACAATCATGTCAAACGATGAAAATTACAGAACGAAAAACAAAATATAGATAGACCTATAAGACATTCCATGAAATAAAACAATATTTTATGCCGAACTATATGTTGTATAATGTTCATGCTGATTTGGAAATATCGTATCGGTCACATACTATTATATTAAATGTACATCTAATCATTGTGTGTTATACCGTTATGAACACTATTAATTCCTTTATTCCAATATTAAGATGTCGGCATATTATTGTACCGAAGTGTATGTCTGCAATGACGACACAATGGTAATGATTAATTCAAAGCCCAGGTGTCATTTTCGAACACGATCGCAAAGACCTTCGAGAAGAAAAAAAACCCCACCCTATTGCAATGTTGTTAGCCTTAACTTATTGCGCATCACCTTTCGATACGTGCAAACATTATGACCCGAAAATGATTTCTATGGGGTATATACAGTAGGATATTGATATTGCCCATGATTTTATTTTTCAAAAGTGTTTAGCGATCTTGTTTTGGATCTTGGATGAATAAAATGCTTTTTTGTTTTGTTTAATCCTTGGTAACACGGTTTGCTCCTTTCGATCCTTTACTATTAAAATTAATACACTAAAATGGAGAACTTCAAACATGAAATCAAGTTGGAATATCACCTCTATGTTTTTTTTTTTAATTTTTGTTATTTACTCATGATCCGTACTTTCATACATTTCCACCAATGTTGATTGTAGTAGACCGGTTGGCCTCGCTTTAATCGCATAGCTTCGGACTAACTTTTTAACATCTAATTCTGTCGGCGATCCCGGCGGCGATCCTGAACTCATAGAGCTCATCTCCGATGTCGTAGTCGATGTCGTCTGTTTCATCAGGTCTTCAGCATTCAAGAGATCATGATGACCAATTTCCGATGTCGTAGTCGATGTCGTCTGTTTCATAAGTTCGTCAGCATTCAGGAGCTCATGATGACCACTTTCCGATGTCGCAGCCGATGTCGTCTGTTTCATAAGTTCGTCAGCATTCAGGAGCTCATGATGACCAATTTCCGATGTCGCAGCCGATGTCGTCTGTTTCATAAGTTCGTCAGCATTCAGGAGCTCATGATGACCAATTTCGATAGAGCTCGTCTCCGATGGCGTAGCCGATGTCGTCTGTTTCATCAGGTCTCCGGAATTCAGGAGCCCATAATGACCAATTTCAATATTGAGTATTGGTTGTGTGTCCTCAGGCTCCGTTGACTTAAAGGCCTGAGGTATGATACTTTCGATCCACTCAATGCACGAGCGACAGTTTGGACAGCACATCCTGGTGAAATTAAAATAGAATGATTTATGAGATTCAACATCAATCCATGGAGATCAATAAAAACAAACTTCGGAAAACATGAGTTGTTTTACGTTATAAGATTAGTCATAACATATCAGCCTTTAAATTAAAATATAAACTCAATCGCAGTAAGATGATACAGGGATTTCGTGAGAGCAAGAAGTTACTTGGTGAGAGAGTGAATAAGGTGAAGAAAGGATGGAGAGGGGGTATTGAGAAAAATAAAAACGGGGAAAATATATAGTAGAAGGCGAGAGAGAAAATAGTTAGAAAGAGAGAGAGAGAGAGGGGTGGGAGGGGAAGAGGACAGATTGATCGAGGGAATAATTAATATAATGTATAATTCTGTTATTATCTTACCTTTTTTATGATAGATATACAAATGAACAAAGTTAGCGATCCGGCTAATCAGGAAGTACTTATTCAAATAAACCTGGTGATGACAATGTCCATTTACAAAAGGGAGTATTACCATCGAAAGCAAATGTATCACTTTTGAATTGTGTTGAATTTTGTGTTCTCCACTCTCGTGCATGAAGTCCAGCGAAATTGATTCATGCATCCAGACCTGTGATAAAATGTACTAGAAATGCCGAATACATCGTAATACCTATATTATATCCATAGAAGTTTCTTTGTTATGTGAATAGTGTGTAAAGATTCAGAAACGAATACAAACAAAAGGAATGCCCTTATGTTAATTACGTAAGCGTTTAAGACTGTGACCATATGGCCATATGGTAAGCCAACATTGACACCAATTTTGTTTTTCGAGAGTCTGTGCAGACTTTTGAGAAAGGCCTGTCCTATACTTAGTTTTATAAGATTTACAATGCAGTGTGACTTTTCAGTTCAGTTCAGTTCAGTTTATTCAATTCCATCTTTAAAAACATCTTTAAAACATTTGTATTACCTTTACTATCAATATTGTTACAAATGTTTATCTTAAATTATCTTAAGTTATCTTTATGTGAAGGTTACTTCTAAGTAAGATACTACTGAAATTTAGAAAATATATATCGAAAGACCTTTTGATATTGATGAATTTCACAAATGTACTGCTGCTTTGTGAATGCCCTTCCAATATTATAAACGTGGCCAGGCGCGTACGCAGGGGGGGGGGGGGGGGGGGGGGGGGGGGGGGGGGGGGAGGGGGGTTACCCTCTCAATTTATTCCAAAGGATAGGGGCATTTACTGCAAAAGTAGAGCCAAATCAAAACAAAAAAGACGACAAAAAATCACAAGAAACACGAAAGAAGGGTCATATAATTATTGACCATGCTTGTCAAAACCATGCAGTCCGTTCTTTTTGACTGTCACATTTCTTTCAAAATATCACTCGTGTATTCTCCGCATCAAGGAATTGTTGCATTGTCATCAAGATATCTGATAGTTAGATCATCTGATCTAACGTATACAGAAGTAGAATGAAAGGACACATTCACCAGTCGATCTTTAAAAAAGTGCTGTTGAGTTAGTAAACTCTAAATATTTATAAAAGTTTCGGAATATCTTATATGATTGATCGAGAACTTCTCATGAAAAGATAGCCCGCCCTCTTTTGAGCAGACGTTTAGTTATGTTCCGTTCTTGACTACCTTTCCAATGCATCCATTCATTCTACTGACTAATGACTAGTAATTTGTGAATGCTCCGATTAGGATTTAATTGCCTTTTAAAGAAGCAGAATCTTAAATTCGGCCATTTGAAAATTTCCTCAGTATCGATCTTGGGGTGACTTTTTTAATTTTAAATTTCATAAGATGGTGAATGAAGGTGCATGGACTTATGGGTTTAATGTGGATTCTAATGATTACAAAAAATATACTCAGCCATAGAGTGGTTGCAATGCAGAGCTATTGAGATTTTGGTTGATCTAATTTCGTCTAATAAGAGCACTTGTGGATTATTAGAAAGTCAATTCATGTATTAATATAACATAAGCCTATCGCCTGGGTTGAAGAAGGGCGTTAGCTTGAATTTCAGGTCAAAAATGAAACATTAAGCAGAAGGGCGTTAGCACTAAATCACCACAAACTTTTATAAAACTGACTTATTTGCGAGAAAACAAATTGTGGCCGTGTTCTACAATAACATTTCTATTAGTCTTTTAAGTTTTAAACCAATTATCCGGACAGAAAGCAGTTTAAATATAAAACATATGTTTAAACGCGAATAATTCGAAAAGGAGTTTTCGAGTCGCTTGCGCGCTAACGCCCTTCTGCCAGCCGGCCGACGATTATTTACTAATGATATAAAATAGGATATAAGAAAAAAAGATTCTGATTAGCCGAGGGTTTATATTGAAGAAGAAGAAAAAATGATATTGTTGATGATTTGTGCATTTAACAAATACCAACATAATAGACCAAAAAATACAGAAAAGGAACCCCCGGGTTAGCATTATTTAGAGTTCACAAATCCGGGTGTATGGGTACCTTTGCATAATAATTTGCATTTCATCTACCTGTATTAAAGTGACAGTTGAGTTCTTTTTTAAGACCGCAAATGCGTTCAAAGTGCCTGGTTATTGCTCTAATTATTATTTTATGACATTTCTAGTGTCCTAAGCTAAATATGCCACGAAGGTCATTTTAGATACCAAAATATGTGAAATTTAGATTACATCCGATCATACCACTTTAAAGAATTACGTGTCCGTTTATTTAATAATTTAATAATAATAATAATGGTACACGGTCGGGCTCGCTGTGCGTATTATAACAAACACAAATAGCCAACAATGGCATTGGATGGATTAAAAGTACAATATATGAAGCGCTATCTCGTTTTTTCATTGGCTGGGTCAAAATTATCAAATATTTGAGGGGCACCACAAATTTTTATAAATTGCTATATTTATGGATATTGAAGCCGTCTCTGAGCTGATGTTGATCAAACAAAGGTGATTTTGTCGTTTAAATTGTATGCTCTTTCAAACTTGACACTCAGTCTTTCATTATATCACAAATAAAATTATTTTGTGTAGCGCCCTCTATACCAAAACTCAACTATCCCTTTAAACTTATTAGATGGTCAAAAAAGAGTTACACTCTTATTCAAACTTCATCTATTTTTAGGTGCTTATGATAAATTGCAGTTGATAGGCCAAATAAGGCCTAATAAGGCATAATCGTAGTGTTTGTGTAAATCATAATCTATCTATGTTTATGTATCATACAGACAAATAACCTTTAACTGAACCATTCACGTACGATAAGAGATTAAAAACAATAATCCATAATTTCTTTTATCTTCAAACAAGAGCAATATTGCAATACAACTTCGGTGGATGAAGTGCAAACTGTGCAATCATGTCTTATTGATGAGAATGTTGATAGAAATTATAATCTGCAAATGGTTACAAACACTGAACCACAGTTACCCTTATTTCACTACCATCGGGATTCAGGAAGAGGGCCAGGAGTCTAATTAATGCGATAGTTATGATTTCAAACAATTACAGCATGAAATATGACCCCATTCCGTGGCGTCTTTACTCCAAGGCAACAGGTTGATTCGCTGTCATTTATTGAAAAACATGTCCCTTTGGAAATTAATTTCAATCTCTAAATACTAGAAGTTATTAGACTCACTTATACCATAATTGTACAAGTATAGTGTTTCAAAGTTTATTTTACACATTTGTAGTATATCGTAGTTATTCTAACCTTCAAAACAATTACAATAGTTGTGGAAAAAACGTAAATTTTCAAAACCATCATATTAGGGTAACAGCCGCATATTAGAACAGCCATACGTTACACACGGTTCTGGTATGTTTCACTGTAACGGCGTCGTGTGCGACCGAATGAATAGCGTCTATTTCAAACCTGCTAGTGCTACCGCTGCTCGCAACCACTGCTGTACAGGAACACATCGACACCTCTCTGTTACTCGAAACCGAATTTTATGATATTATATTTTGTTGAAAAGGGTAAATTCTCTTTGTAAGGTGATAATCTGCAACGTTCCGGAACATTGCTGTAATGTGGTTGAACACAAGTAAACGTGGTAGCCAAACGATGGCTCTTATTGGGGCTGTTATCGTGTTGTTGATGCTCCAGCGAGCCGAAACTCTGGCGTCGGCAGGACAGTCGGGCGCCGCTGGTGCGGTAAGTGGTATTGCTAAATATTCACCAAATGACCAAGTGACCAATTGTATTTACTACGCTTTATGGTACAGAATTTTAAAGCACGATTCTCATCGCTAAAATATCAATTTTCTTGTGCTCTTTTCTTGAAATATAATAGCATGTATCTAACTAATGAGTTCTTGAGATAAGCTGTTATGATTCTCATTTCATTGTTTATCCTATTCTAATAATATTTTTTGATGAGTTAACAATAACTTTTTAAGCATTCAATTTAATTTCTGGAGGAAATGTTTCTATGTGAAGGAGTATAGTATGACTGCTTTATATTAATGTTACTATGGTTTTTGAAAAATAAGAAAATTGAATCAGGGATTTATAAGAATTAAATCAATAAATAACATGAATTTAAGCAATTGAAAGTTGCCGATTTAAGAGAGCGGGTAATTGGAAAAAAACAAAATAAGAATATTGTCATTTAAAGATCTTTCTTAGTATCCCCTCATTTGTAATGTTTGTCTTTTTACTACATGTACTTACAGGAAGATAAATAAGATATGTGTGAGCAAGTGATGTATGGTGAAAAGAAATTGTTTTGTTCCAAGACATTTTGGCATGCAAATTGTAGGCATACTTTTGATTGTCAAATATATCTGGGTATAAATCCCCTCTTTGTACATGTGCGATAATGATTGTAGCAGTAGTAGTAGTAGCAGAGACGCCAAGTTCAAAGATCCGCAATGCGTGACATTTTCATGATTTGGCGCGCAAGCGCGCGTGCGAGGGTATAACACACGTTTAAGGTATAGCGTTTTTTTAAAAATCTACTGTAGCGCGCGCGTCGTGCGTGAGAGCGTTTTCAGACCCTCGAAATGCGTGACACTTGGTAGCTCTGTAGTAGTAGTAGTAGTAGTAGTAATATTAAATGGTAATATTTATGGAAATAATAACAATACGGATGATAATGATGGTACTAATCATAATAATAGTAATACAAATTAATGATATTGATGTATACTGTATTTCAGTCAGGGATTTTATAAAGAGAGAGACCCTCTTTGTTATTCATTACATGCTGTATGGTATGATACAAGTACCTTAACTTTTGATCAATTTCCACTGTATTTTCTGATGTTAGGCCTAACAAAAAAGATGTTGTATTGCCCTTTAAAGGTACTATGTCCCATTTGCAGGCCAAAAAAATGAAAAAGTTAAATTCTGACTGCATTTGAAAGATAATACTAATTTAGAACTTCCCTAAAAACGGTGGGGCTTTAAAATGTCTTCAAGTGGGAAAATAATGACTATTAGTTTAGGGCTATAGAGCCCAAAAGTAATAGTCTTGATTTTCAGACAATTGTACCGAATGATCATACGTTTTATGCTGCGCAAAGATTCAGTCAGTTTAATCTTGGCCATCACAAGAAGTGGGTTATTGATGTAGACAAATACTGATGTACCCTTTACAACTCTTTTCATGTATGTTATTACCAAAGAAGAAAAAAAAGCCAGTCAGTCACTCAATAGTGTCTGACGGTGAAGTCTAGCAAGTAAACGGGTTTCCTTGCATAATTTGAATATGAGGACACTGCTAACGTTTAAATTTCACAGATAGGACATATATGACATATTCATAATTCCTGCAAAGTTCTACAGAATTTGAGGTTGGCTGCAAAAGGGACATAGTACCTTTAATTCAACCATTAAAGACAAACTAACTCACAAAATAGTGCACTCAGCCACCTCCATATGCACTGTAGTATTTGCATTACCGGTATATGCAGGAAACAAAACCTGAAGATGATCACAATAATCATGCATTTATACAATTCTATCTTTAGACATTCTGGATTTAAAATGGAGGAGCTGGGAATCTACGTGTGTACCATACCCTCGGGACATGCATTCCAACAAAAAAATGCACATTTATCCTTACTTGTGTAGTACTAGGTTTCGGCAAGTGATGAACCTATTTGACGTGACCTGGATTGCGATCTTAAATTCTAGAACGGATCCATGTAAAAAAACGTTTTGATTCATATCATGTCAACTAGTGGAAGGGAATTGATTTGTTTTTAAACTGAACAAAAATAGAATTTGTGCTTGATGAAATGCAGCGTGTTCAGTCTAATTGACTCATTTGAATATATCAAGAGCGATGACTTTCAGAAGAAAAATATACTACATGTACAATGTACATGTATGTGTAGCTGATAAGAAATATTTGAAAACACTACATTTTATTTATTTATTTAATGAAAATTGTAGCCTGAAGCTATAACAAAATAAATTGTCATTAGTAAAAATATATTCAGTACATGTTTTACGCAGTATAGATGTTTACCTTCAGAATGGTCTGAATATTTCTTAAACAAAACTTTCTTAAAAAGACCTGAAAGATTGTGGCTCGTTCAATTGCATCTACATTTATCAATACGACATCACAAACAATATATTAATTGAAATAAGATGATAATTAAAAAATGAAGAAATAATGATGCTGATGATGATGATAATAATAATAATAATAATTATAAACTATTTTGTATAGCGCATTACACATTACATACATGTAGGTATGTTCATATGCACTTGGGACGGAAAAGAAAATCAAAGAGTAAATACATGTAGGTTACCAAGTTCCTTTTATCTGTTTAACATTTGGAATAAGTATGTTTTAAGCCATTAATGGCAGACTTAAACTTATCTATTGTACCGGTATTCATGTTTCTAAGAGAGTCAGGGAAGCTATTCCATAAAACTGGGCAGCATGGGCAAATGAACATTCACCATATATTTTGTCAGAAAACATGTTGGAGGAACAATGAATAAATTCTTACATGATTGAAGAAATCTTGTTGGCCTTTATGTAGAGAGTAAATCATTTAAATACTGTAGTTACTAATTATTTTCTTTCTTAAATTAGCTTGTACTTCATATAATGTTGTAAGGAAGATTTTGATTCTTCTTCTTCTTTATCTTTGTCTTCTCATCATCCCTTTACCATTTCAAAGACCCTTGTTAAAGGGGAGGGGGTGAAGCTCTTTTGTAACTTGTATACAGTATGATCGATATTCGCTCTGTATTTCCCAGCATCATACATTTTCTCGAGTTTTGTTTCTCCAGCGATGATTTGATATTTTACTGTAGGCATGCATTTGGTACGGGATTTCTTTACTACACTGTAGCACCATGCTATGGCAAGCGTCACAATAAAAATTCATCTTCTGAGAGAGAAATGTAGAACAAACGAAAAACAATAGTTCAATATTTTAGATATATTCTTACCAGGCACATCATTCCTAACAGGGATCTGAGCTACTGCTTAGTGCCTTACATTTCTATCGATTGCTCCACTTTGTAGAAATAATCAGGGCAGCCTAGAATTTTTTAGTATATTGATCCTACAGTTTGTATTATCAACACAAAATGTAAAAATCTAACAATTTCTTTTTAGGGCTTACACATATATGACTGCTGCTACAAGTAGAATGGACATTTATTACAAATGCTCTTTATAATCATGAAATATGCTCATTTTCGGGGAGGTAGAGTGATTGAGGTTTTGGATTTTGGAGTAGCAGAACAAATATTGTCCTTGTGCAAGGACATGAATCACATTGTGGAGTCTGGGCTGAGTTAATGCAATCCATAGATCATCATGTTCAGATGTAAAATGAATGAGGGCTGAAGAAGGAGCAACAGAAAAAATGTAAGTCCTTGAAGGCGACAGAAAGACGTGAATGGCCTTGGCCTTTCCTAAATCTGTAGAAATTTCCATCACATGAGCAAATGGCGGTACTTTTTAGTGGTGGCGGCGCTTGGAGAATACGGGCATCACGGAGCCATGCAAATAAGAGGGGAATGTGACTGGAGTATTTATTGATCCATGAGGGAGCTACAGAACCACGTTTGACGAGGATTCATTTCATCTCTCCCTCTCTTGTTCTGGCCTCTATCTCTTATTCTGTCATTTTAAAGGGTTACACTTGTAGTTAAACCTATGTGGAAAGTACAAATCATTAACAGTCAAAGATGAGTGAAATTCTAAACTCACATGTGGACGATTTTTTTTCTATTAAATTTCATTCAAAATATCACTATCAAAACCATGTACATATTATGTAATTATATCGGAGCCTCTTTTTTCTCACTACAGGTAGATATCATACTATGGTACTTGCATAATGGCAAAATAAACTCTGAACGGATTGCTATTAGCACTTGGCAAGAGGGACCCCCCCCCCCCTTGTCTCCTATTCTTTGACTTGAATGACAATTTAGCACTACCAGTACTTTTGCTTATATTTATGCTTAAATATTAAGCTATGACAAGCTGTCTATATGTAAATAAGTTTGATCATTGAAATATGTCAAACTGTCCATAATTTAGTGAGAATGGCATATATTGATATATTTGTAATGATAATGTAGAAAAGGCTTTGTAAATGCTTCATTGCTATTCCTTGTAATTGACCCCTGCAACCTGTTCGACTGGTCAACTTTTGTATAAATGAATGAATAAATGAAGCACTTAATGAATTGGTAAATAAAAAATGGAAAAATAACAAATGAATAAATAAATAATTAGAAAGATAAAATGATACACATGCACGTGAGAATGAATTAATAAAACAATTAAATGGTATACATTAATGAATTACCAGTAGTAAATACTTCTAAGTGGTTAAAAAAAAGTAATCCAACTTAGCACATTTATACATAATTCCTTTCCTGCACACCCAAAATGATATTCACATTTTAAAATGCAGCAACTGAAATTATTATTAAGGAGACCTTACAAATATGTATAATCATGTCACCATGTTTCTTTTCTATTCTTTTCAGGGTGACTGTATTCATTCTCTGGAAACTGGGGATATTTTGTGGCAGGACAACTTGACAGACTCGTTTGTTGACGTGGTATGGGGCTATGGAGAAGAGGTGAGTGGAGTTTAGTTGCTTCTGAATTCAGTGGTGGCGGCAACATACTACGTACAGCCACCAGGGCAGTGGCCACATGTTAAAGTGTACAATGGAAATGCTTCAGCCTATATGATTTGCCAGGACACTTCATTTGGTGTTTTGGCAAATGATGAGAAATGTTTTCTCCCACAATATGGTGATGAAGGAGAGTGGCAGTAATAATTGTTTCATGCAAAGAAAGTTCAGTTCCTCCACAGCGAGGTAAGAAGGGTGCAGAAGTGTTTGACGGTGGACAAAATAGACAAGTCAATTTTGTCTCAGCACTAATGTACATGGTTGTGTTTAAACTCTTTGTCTGCTTTGGTTGTTATAAAGGTAATACAAAGTTTTGGGAAATTTTGAAAACTGGGTGGATAGTGATTCTTTACAATTTTGATGTACAGTATTTGGATGCCTATGTGGATGTATTATAAGCACTAGAAAATTTAGCCCCTAAAACACTTCTGCCTTCGAGAAAAATCAAATATAACAATTTACCGGTACTCCCGGTAAATTGTGATAAATTTCAAATAGCGCCTACAGCTGTACAATGGTAGCTGTGACTATGAAAATCTCAGAATATGTAGTTGTAATATATAATTTCCAAACAGGAATAGCTAATCGGTCAATTTTAGTCAAGAAATATCGTTTTATAGTTTAATTAATATCTTGATCTCGAGAGGGAGCTATACAACATAAAGAGTTTAATATTTACAATTTCATAATTTTAGACTTGATTTCGACCGCGACATGTGATCACTGTATATTGTAGGATCGCATATGCTTCTAATATGTTCATTTGAACCAAATTCATGACCCCATACCAAAACTTTGTACCTTTAAGAAGAAGAACCAGCAAAGTGCCATTGTAGACTTTTGTAGTGAATAGAGAGTTCATGGGGTAGGCCGGGGCATCTATCTTTATGGAGATCTCTTCTCTTAGTTTTATGGTCTACATCCAGTGCCATGATACTTGATGTAATTAGTCTGCTCCCCATCGAACCTTAATCAAATCTTGTCAGTTCTTATCTCAACCTAACTGATTGTAGTTGTTTAATGACTGGGTGTAATTTGAGCTTGATTGAGCAGTAGAGTTTACAAGTTTATCCCTGGAATGGACATGAAAGAGTTTGCTCAGCAAACTTGGTCCAATCATTAACGTCAAAATTGAAGGATGAGCCTGAGAAAGGAGAATAATTGAAAGAATGTGCACGTTTTCTCTTGGCATGTGATTGAAACAGAACCAAGTGAGTGTTTGCAGAACACTGGGACATCAATTTGTGTCGGGTAATCGAAGGGAATAAAGAAAGAAAGTAAGGATTGGGGGGGGGGGGGGGCTGCCCAGAGAAGATTTGCTCCTGATTAAATTGTGCTGCTACTGTGGTGACGTAAATCCCAAGATTGTTTGAACCAGGGTGCAAGCTCTTAGGTTACTGCCCTAGATCGTGGCAAATTTAGTTTGGCATGGAGAACTAGCGCACCTAGAAATTTAATCATTGCCTCATGGAAAAGGAGATTGTGTTAGCACCGGTCCCTGAGACAATTTGAGAAGATCCATAGAAAGAAAATCTATGGGAAAAGAGGCTTAATTTTCTGTTTCTACATGTCTGTAGAATGAACCGGCAGAGGATAATTTGTTGTTTGACTGTTAGTGTCAGAAGGTGTATGGGCATAGTGCCATAAGCAATGAAATACCTGTAAATAGAAAATATGTGCTTATTTGATACAAACTGTCCTCACTTTTTCATTAGTAGATAAAATCCCCGTCATGTCTTTTTAAAATGGTTTAACAATTAAAACCATACACTGTAGAAGTGACATACCAGAAATTTGATTTTATGGCATGCAGCAACCTTCTGCGAGCACACAACAGATTGTGAAATAAAAAACAAGTTTGGAGAAAAAAATGTGTTGGGATGTGTGTTTAGGATGGTATGTGGCGTAATTGCATCAAAAAAAAGAGAAAAACAGCATATCATTCATTAAGGGATCAAGTTCCCCAAGCTCATTGATGCTTTGGGAAATCATGTTCTGAGAGGAAGTGCAACACCATACTTCAATCCGGAAAGAATGACTCTTTTACATTGTGGCAGTAAAGGTACATGTAGTATATGGAAGAGAGTTACAGCATGAACTTATTTATCAAATAGCTAGAAGTTTAAATTTCACCTCGAGGGGAAAACAATGTTCAATACTTGTTGAAGATGCATTTCAATTTTGCATATTGTATAATATATGTTTTGATAGGAGTTTATTCAGTGTTGGTATACCGGTATGTACATTAATTATTTTCTATTGCATCAAAAGAACAAAAAGATAAACTTTTAAACTGCTACCATACATGTAGAATTAAAAAGACATTGAGAGAGACAAACTTTGGTATTTAGCTGTGCTCCTGAAGTTACTGAAATTGAAAATGGGGAAAGAAGTCCTTGAAGAAGCCGAGAACTGTGGGTAGCCTCTTGGCTTCCATTGATTTGGCCTGGATATGTCGAGGGCAGCAGACGCATCGATTCTACCTGTGTGTACACTGTTACCATTTAAAGGTAACATAGAAGGGTCAAAGTGTCATAGGAACCATCGGACCACGTTTCTGGATGCACTTCAGAAACTAATATAATGACCAGCAAGCCTGCCACCTTGTCTCCCTCTCATATCATTGTGCAGAGTTCTTCAAATTTGATATTTGCACAGACATACATGTACATGTATCTCTTGCACTCTTTTGAGAAAGCTGTAAAGGTGCATTTGCAGTATCTTGGGCAGATAACTGCATAATTCAGGTTTAAAGGATATATACATTGTCAAATTTACAATTGACAATGTCAATGTAAATATTTACACATACCAGTATACAGTGTACATTGTATAATAAAATTAAAATTTTAACTTCACATTCTGGTAGTTTTTTTTTTAAGGAGGTAAAATATCAATTGCATTGTGTTTATTTGTGTTTATTCCACGCAATCATTGTGCTTACCAAATGTATGTACTTGTAGGCTACATTTACAGTATGACCATCTACATTACTGTACATGTACCTGTACAATTCACAAGTTCTACGTACTGTAAATGTAATATACTTCCTAAAGTAATATGTGTTTTATTTAAAATTTGATTGTATACACTCCTACAATTCTCAACATAAGTCCAGCTGGCATAATACTAAATTAGTTTGCAAACAAAAAATGAATATAAACATAAATTTTGTGTTATTTTGCTGTGAAACTGCATTTTTGTCATGCCTTTAATACAATGCCTGTGTAGACAATGATAGAAGGAATATATCTACAAGCAGGAGCCAGTGTGCTCAATAAGCAAAACACTTACCCTGGCAGTGAGTGATAGTGACTTTGTGAAGTACCAATTGATGTCCAACAGAACGTCAGCCAGTCGGAATCCAAAGAGATTGGGAGTGGGTAGACCGGTCAACAATATCGGGGAAGAGCTACGAGAGAGTGATCGAGAGAGGTGAAGAAAACAAAAATAGGAACAAAATGGAGAGGGTTAGAAGGAAAACATAGATGTTTGCCATCATATTATGAACTCTGGAAATGTATTGAACTTGTTGATTACTGCTTTTGACTATTATTATTATTATCATGGTTATCTTAACTTAAAATTGGAAAGGAGAGTGGGAGAGAGAGAGAGAGAGAAAAAAAAGGGGGGGGGGGGGGAAAGGGGCGTGGAGTCAGATCTAGTGTGAGAGGGAAAAAAAGAGAAATAGATAGAGACAGAAATTGAGAGTGGGGGAATAAACGAGGAGGAGGGAGGAAGAGAAAAAAACAGAGAGAAAGAGAAATGTATGAATTTATTAAAATAATTAAAATCATATATATATGTAATTGCAATATCTTTTGTTTTTACCTTTTGATTATGCAGGATACATGTCACACTCTAAGCGGGTGTTTTGGGATTAATGATACAGAGGACCAGGTGGTGGATATCCAGCTTAAACCTATCCAGCTCCAACAAGGGGTTCAACTCAGGTAGGTTTAGAAGACAGCAAGAAAAGAACTTCAGATTACAAAAAATATATATATCTGTTTCCTTCTCATTATTATAACCCAGTTATTGTGTTATTTCTTTCATCATTTCTTTCGTTGTTGCACAATAACAGAGTGCAAGGTACATTCACATGTATAAATAATATGTTGATGGAATTTGAAAATGAGAGAGTGACTGGAAACATGAAGCCATTAGTGGATATGGCATTATACCCAAGTGTTACATGTAGGATCAAGATAAAACTCTTGAGAAAGATGAGAAAAATATAAAAGCATACATTTACCTCTTCTGCTTGTCATTGAAGATGATTATGGTCGGGTCAAGGTCTGTCTGGTTATTGAGTTAGAGGAAATTTTGCTTTCAAGTATACTAGATTATCTCTGCAATGGAGTAGTGATGTAGATGCTACAAGGAATTCTGCCTGTAAGTACATCTTTGATTGTAATGAATATAGTGGATTGGAAGCCACATGGCTCAAGGTTAATAGAAGCATTTTTTTTTGGTGTCTAGAAAAGTGATTAAGATTTTAAAGAGGTTTTAACTTTGATGTAGAGTGTCTTGCAGGTATCTATACAAAAGACCAAAAAGCTCACAAGTATTGGTTTACAGGTCAATCTTTACTATTTTAATTAGTCATAATAAGAACTAATACATTAATTCCAAGGACTTGATATCATGACTGTGGTATATCTATTCCAGAGTGTCATAGAGAATTCATCATAAATATAAACGTAACCCATGATAGCGATCAATTTAAGAGAGAGAGAGAAAGAGAAAGATGGAGAAAATTTGTTCTCTTTTCTGCAGCTGAGTGTTTATTTCAGTTTTCATACAGTGTGCAACAGTAGAGATGCAGATAAAAATGAATTAGAACTTGTACAGCCTGGCAGTTGAGCCGCAGGGTAAAAATTGACCTTTTTCCCCAATGGTAATCAATAATACGTGAATATTAGATTAAGAATTGATTGCAATCATATTCCGCGATATACCTCCTCTAATCTCTTCTACAAATCTAGTCCTGAGTATTACAAACAACTTGCTCTGTGAGAAAAGGGTTGAGCACACATGCGTGACATTTCTAATACTTTTATCTCTGCTTCTGCTTCTCTTGTTACTGTTGAATGTACTTCCATTTCTATTACTCTCATTTCTTCTTTTGGTCGTAAGTTTTCTACTCTAACATACAAAAGTGTATTCAAGGCATCTACAGAGTATATACAGCCATCGTTGTTGGTTGGTCGAAGGTTGGGTGACTGGTCGGATAGTTTACTAATTTCTCAAGGTTATGTTTCGTTTTGAGGGACAAAAGTACTTTTTATGAAATCAAGTTCAGTCTGGATTCAGAAATTCTCATTAGAATGATGGGACATATATTTTTTTACGATGAATTTTCATTTTGATGTACTTGAAATGAAAGCCCTCACCCACTCAAATTTCAACACCTTCAAAACAAATTGAAATGTTGTTTGTCAGTATAAATGAGCCAAGGGCAGAGGGCAAAGAAAATAGTTTGGTGAGCATACATGTAGCTTTGCCTGCAGTTAGCAGATGCCGCTTGGGCATTGATTTCTCCTGTAGGACAATCAGATACTAATCACATGAACTAGATAATAGAGAGGAAATATGAAGTTAAAGAAATTGTTAGAGATGCCATCAATAGCAACAAGGAGAGGGAAAAAGACACAATGATTTGTTCATGTTTTGAGCACTTTCCCATGTAAGAATTTTTTGACATGGCTCTGTGAGTAGCTAGTTTTATTATCTTTTGTTTTTGAGGCACAGGAATTAGTTTTATATCGTGATCACAAAGACTTTCAAAAATGATACAAAGTCATTATCAATAGCTTTATTCATCACCATATGAGATGTATGAACATTAATGTTATTTCACTTAATCCGAACATGATATCTATAGGCCATACAATATAGTAATAATAATAATAATAATAATAATAATACATAAATATATAGCACAGCTTTTATACAAAATATATTCAGCTGCGCTGAAATTGAATTTGAAATTGAAATTGCTGTTCAGTTTATTTCTTGCGAGTGTCTATTCTCAAAACTCTGCATCTAAGCATAGCTAGAAACACAAAAGTATAACCATATTCGGATCTACAAGCCACTTTTGGATCTTAAAAGCAACACTAAAATTTCAAAGTTCTACATTTTGTCAATTTTGTTTCTTTTTCTTTCAACACTTTCATTTGCCATCAAAACTACGCTCAGCCATCTTGTTGACTGAGACTGGGGTAGAATGGGGTTATTGCTACGTGTAATAGTTAGGAAATGTGCAATTTTCTCTCTGTTTGCATCCACCGTGAACAATGGCTGGCAGCTACGGTATGTCATTTGTTGCAATTCCAAACAGACCCTATGGCTAACATTATACACTCTGTTAGTGATGGGGAAGTTAGGAGCGGTCATGTACAAAGCTAAGTTGTTTTGCCTGCTTTCTAACTGGATAGATCGATGAACGTTATAAGAAGTTGCATGAGAATACAGATTAGAATGAGTGAAAGCAGTATACATGGCCATGTAGGTATAGGAAGAGAAAAGGAGAGACAGATAGGGACGGATAGGGATGGAAAGTGAGAGAAAGAGAGAGAAGAAAATATGTAATCATCTTTGAGCCTGTATGTAGAAAATGATAATGCATAAATTACTGAAGGTTCCATCAAAGTACTTAAGAGAAATCTAGAGATACGTAGGAAGGACTGCCTTTTAAAATACACACTGTAGTATAGTCTTGTGTGAGGTTGGTTTTCATGTAATACGATTATAGATACATGTATATTTATGCACACATATGTGCATGAGCAAGATACTGTTTCCTTATTTCTACACTTGACTGTCGCTGGCTAATGTAAGATAAATAAAGTCAGAAAGACAGACTGAGTCTTGTGAAGGGTGTAAACAGATGGACATGCATGCAGTCAGATAGACAGAGGGATCTAGATTGTCTCCTGGAGCCGAGCGGTAATGGCTCCCATGCTGTTTGAGGAGTATCCAGTGTTGCAGATGGAGTGTTGGACCGGATTGTTGGAGAAGCTTTGTGTCAGCTCAGCTGCATCTCCTGGATGTCACATGTGACAAGTCATTCTATGAGGAGAGGAAACAACATGCATCCAAATGCTCCAATTAACATTTCATGTTCACACAAAACTGTAAAAAAGGATTATGAGTTATAAGAATAGTGTGCCAGGAAAACAGTAAAGCATGAACATTTCTTGTATGCTTTTATCTAGGATTTATATATTTCACAAATTTTGTTTGCTTAAAATGTTTAGGTCAAGCATTTAAAAAAAAAAATTCTCCCAAGGATAAGGTACTGTAAATAGGATTTTGCAAATGTCTGTACCAAAGCAAAAGAGCATGAAACTTTGCATACAATGCAATATCATAGTGAAAGAGCTCTAAGCTCTAAGAAGAGAGTTTATTTCTCTTTATATTCTGCACATGGCATGAGGCCCTTTCTTCCAGGTTATTGGTCCTAGGTTTGTTTCTCCCTTGCTGTAATCAGAATTGTTTAGTTGTACGTTCCGAACGAATTGTGGCTGATAAAGTAGATGCATGGGAAATTGGTTTTCTCGGAACAATGTACCAGAGTGAGTTCTGGTTGTAGCAGTAAATACCTGCCTCTTCCAATCTGACATCAAATCCAAGATCTTGTTTCACATCTTAAAAGTGGCTTTATCCCATTCTCTAGGAGATAGCCCCTGCAATGCATCCCCCTATTTGATCAGATACCATTCCCATCAATCATTGCAACCGGTAATAATCCCCTCCTCCAATGAGAGATCTCAACATGCATCACAACCTCCCCAAAATATCCTGACGAGAAGGCACTTCCCGCTTTGCTCCCACCTCTACGGAAGCTTCTCTCCTTCCGATCGACAGCAGCCGTAACCATTTAAAGTGGCCTGCCCACCTCTCCGTGGCTACTGTCGCATGTTATTGAAGGTGATGTTCTTCAGCTATTGCCTCCCTTGCCAATGAGTCTATTGCATGTATATTAAGGATGGTGTTGGACGTGTAAAACCTTTCTCAGGCTTTGTATCACCCTAAATTGGTTTCCAGAGCAAATTTATCTAACCCGTTATGCCTGGTAGTGTTGCAGGAAAGTGGTGCACTTCGGCACTTCACTATATTTTCTCCCGCCCTCAGTCACGTTACAAAGTTGTGTGCAAACAGCCTGCCATTGGCAATTAGATAACGCTCAACTTGCTTGATCTATTTTTCATAAAAGAGAGCCCTTCAAAAAACTGTGTCCCTTTTCAATTAAATTTTGAGCAAGCAGTCATCTCTGTTGTTGTGTGCAGGTTTGTGTTTAGATTACTTACAGACTCCTTCCTGTTTATCCTCTACCAAGGCATCATCTGTACTATCATTCTAGTAGTGCTATGTCAGAACTCAGAAGTCATCTCATTTTGAAGAGGATATTGCATGTTTTTTGTCATTGTATACTAGTAGTTAATATCTCCAATGTAATATAGGTTCTTTGCTTGGGAATTTCTATTAAGATTAAATGCCATTTTTCTTCCTGACCTTTTTATCCTGCAATATTACAACAATATTGTATCATGGTTCTAGTAGCCCTGTGTCAAGAGTCATCTATTTTAGTAAAAAGATTGCTGCATGATTTCTAAAGAACAGTCATTTGATTTTGTAGAAAGGATTATGAAGGGCAGAAGCCTACTAATATCTTAATGATGAAAATGAGTCGAGAGATTCAAGTGAAAGTTGGGGGAAGCGATGAGTCTTTACATATACTAATCTGTTCTTTTTGTTAATTTTCTAATTATTTAGATCTGTGCATTAAGAAACACATGTATAACCAAGTACATGTACATGTAGCAAGTGCATTTTAGGCAGGTAACTTAAGGACGTCTCAATAACAACCTCGTATCAAGTTATCAACAATATAGAACACTTCTTAAGTTCCAACCGGTGCAGAAAGAACAAAGTAGGAGAGAAAAGTAATATACCAGTATTCAC